CAATTCCTCTCAATGTGCTTGACCATTGTACATTGTATGTAGTTAAATTGAATTCCAACCATAAAGTTTCAAGTTATGGTCCGGACAAAAGAAAGCAATGGAAAAGTAACAAAGGGCAATAACTCTGTAATTACTTTAGATAGAGATATGATTCTTGTGCACTGCACTTCCCCTTATTGTGTTTGACAATTATATGAAGTTGTTTTGAATTCCAACCCGTAGTTTTCAAGTTATGCCCCGGACAAGGAAAAGTAACAGAGGGCAACAACTCTGTAATTAGTCAAGATAGAGTTATGGTTCTTGTGCACTGCACTTCCTCTCAATGTGCTTGACCATTGTATGTAGTTATATTGAATTCCAACCATTAGTCTTCAAGTTATGCTCCGGACAAGGAAAATGCAACGGACGTCTGGACCGACCGACCAACCACCGGGTGACTCCTATATACCCCCCCCCCCCAAAAAAAAACTTCGTTTGTGGGGGTATAATTACATGTGGCTTTATCGCTGTCAAACAGGTCGTCAATAATATACAATATAGAAAGAATCGATGCTGTACAAGAAGTATAGAAGAAGCAATGAATTGAGTTCAAAGGATATATATACGAATACATGTATTAGGTATCCATTTTAACGCATTTTCGTTTGACCCAACGGCTGTAATTTGAACAAACTTAGTAGAGGTCTACTAGATAATGTCCAAAAACTTAGCTTTAGTCCTTCTAGTTTTAGAGATAAAGTTTTTACTATGTACACGTCAAGGAAAATCCGTGACAGCTAATGCCTGGGCCAACTTAGACCCTAGTTATGATTTTAACAAGGCAATCTGAGGGACAGCTAAATCCCCTTTCCGCAGCAGAAATGAATGTGTACTTCTTGGCCTTTAACCAACCATGATCTTGTGCCATCATATCATAAATGCACATTTCCTCATCACAAAACTGTTTCAGTTATTGACCAATTATCTTCCATATTTAGAAGGTAGATACCTCTGTAGATCCTCTTATTTTGTTTGAATTTTTAGGTCAAGGTCTTGGTAACCATGGGTAATTTTAGACTTCATATATTGACATATTTCTTACATATTTTGTTATATAATTATTTAGGCAAACTTGCTGTACAGTGGGCTTTAGTGATATTTCCTGTTTTTATTCATAATTCTTTGACTCATGTATTATTTGTAATAGTTTTCATGCTTTACATAGCATTCAGGTTGAAATTACAAGACTGCTGGTTATGTTAAAACCTTGACCTTGGGAGTAGCCACCTGGTTGTTGCCCTCTGTAGATGATGATGGTGATCAGTTGTGCCAATATAATTAAAACAAGACATGACCATGGACAGAATGTTGTGCCCGCTCATCTTGATTCAAAGCTGAGCCTATTAGCTTCAGATCATGAAGAGAGTGCAGCAAGGTGAGATGTGCGCAACACATCCTCTTTATACCCAAGGCACAATATTGACCTCTGATCCAGTGACTTGGCTCACGTGCATGACAGGAAGTCTCTTGATAAACATTTGTGTCTAAAAACACAATTCATGTTATTTCAAAATTCCTCCAAGAGCAAAACAGTTATGGCATGGACAAGTTTGGATGCACACACAAACACTGAACATGGCTATTTTATTTGACCTTGACCTCTTATGCAAAGAAGTTATGGCATGGACAAGTTTGGATGCACACACACACAAACACTAACAGCCAAGATACAGAAAGTTACAGCGCCAACAAATTTTAATATTTTATTTGACCTTTGACCTCTTGTGACATTGACCTTCATTCTGCTTAAGACAACTCAAATTAACATGGAGACAATTTGTGCTAAGTTATAATTCATCCATGTATATAGAAATTTGGAAACAAAGTGATCCCTCGGAAGCATTAATCACAGCAAAATTACAAGAGAATTGCATACTCTGTTTGATTGAGTCTGTACATGCAAATGCAGAAGTTTTACTTGCAAATGAATTTTTTATTTTGCTTTTTGACCTTTGACCCCTGTGACCTTAACCAAAGACACCTGCATTTTTGTGTGACACTCCGCCTCACTATTAAGAACATTTGTCTGGAGTTATATTAAAATACTACCACGCATGTGGACTTATGCTCGGGACATGGGTTTACGCTGACCCCCAAGTGTGACCTTGACCTTGAAGCTGCAGACTTCGGTTTTTTGTGCTACACACCACCCTATTATGGTGAACATTTTACCAAATTATTTTGTAATCCATCAAGGAATGAGCAAGAAACAGCCCCAACAAATTTTTGTATGACCTCTTTGTGACCTTGACCTTCACTTTGCGCAAGGAAACTCATCTCAACATTGAGAATATTTGTGCTATTAAAGTTATATTAAAATCCATCCATGTATATGGAAGTTATACTTGCAAATGAAAGATTTATTTGACCTTGACCCCAAGTGTGACCTTGACCTTTACCACAAACATCTAAATTTTTCACGAGACACACCGCCTTGCTATGGAGAACACATGTCCCGAGTCTTGAACATTTTTAAGCGCCTTTGAACATTTTAATGAAAAGGGCGCTATATAAATGTGGTATTTTATTTTATTTATTTATTTTATTTATTGTCACATGCATGTGAAAGTTAGGTTCCAAACACAGATTTTGCGCTGACCCCAAAGTGTGACCTTGACCTTAAGCTTTGAGTGGCGGACCTGGGTTTTGAGTGCGATATTCCACCCCATCGTGGTAAACATTTGTACCACATTATTTTGTAATCCCTCGAAGAAAGAGCAAGAAATAGGCAGGACAAATCCCGACAGCCACAAAATCATCGAACCATACACCAAAAGTGGCAACTTAGTCAAGCTCACCACAAGCTGGCTCGAAAAAATTTCAGTTGTTAAAAAGTTATGAAAGGGACACAAATTGTTGACTTTAAACATTTTGACCTGTATGTGTGACCTACACCCTGGTGGTAGCAACCTGAATATTGCGCTCCACACATCATGTCATTATGGTGACCATTTTAAAAACTTTTCAGAAGTTTAAAAGTTAAGGAGTAGACAGGAAAATATGGACTTTTTCATTTGATGTTTAAGTGTGACCTTGACCTTAGGGGTAGCAACCTGGATGTTATTTGTGGGTAGCAACCTAGATGATGCGCTCTGCAGATTGTGTCATGATGGCGATCCTTTGTGCAAAGTAATTTTAAAACTTTTTAATAGTCAGTAAGTTGACCTTTAAGTGTGACCTTCACATTGGGAAAAGCAACTAACTTATAGCCCCTTGCACATCGTCTCATAATTGTAATCACATGTGCCAAGTTACTTCAAAACGTTTTCAGTGCTTTAAAAGTTATGGAGTGGACACAAAATGTAGACTTTTTAACACTTGACCTTTAAGTGTGACCTTGACCTTTGGGTTAAAAGTTATTGAGAGGACAGGAAAGTGTTACGGACAGACAGACTGAGGCCATTCCTATAAACCCCTCCCCATTTTGCAGAAGGGGATAGACAACTTGGTACAGGATTAACAAGGAACAGGTCACCTAGACAATGATTCGTGCCAAAATTCAAAGCTTTAGCTTTTATGATTTTATGGCCCTAAATCGCTCACCTGAGTCAGAATACTAGTTTATTTGGCTTTTTTAAAAGAAGAATTTTTTTGTTTTTACTGTATGCATATAAAGAAAATCGATGACCCACAGGGTATTTTTGACCCGAGAGCTTTCTTTGAACAATTAAGTAGACACTCACTATCGTTCACCTGAGTCAGGGTACTTGTTTATTTGGCTTTTTTAAAAGATTTTTTTTTTACTATAAACATATAAGGAAAATCAATGACCCCAGCAGTGCCAATTATGACCCCAAGGCTTTTATTTGAACAAACTTGGTAGACACCTATTCGAAGATGTTTCATGCTTAATATCTAAGCTCTAGCTCTTTTGGGTTTTCTTAAAAAAGAATTTTTAATATATACATATAAATAAAATCAATGACCCTGAGAAGGGCCAATTTTGACCCCCCGCGCTTTTATTTGAACAAACTTAGTAGACCCTCACTAGAAGATGTTTCATGCTTAATATCTAAGCTCTAGCTATTTTGAATTTTTTTTAAGAGGAATTTTTAGATTTTTACTATATACACATTAGGAAAACCAATGCCCCCATGGGGTGGGGCCAATTTTGACCCCAAGGCTTTTATTTGAACAAACTTGGTAGACACCTATTAGAAGATGTTTCATTCTTAATATCTAAGCTCTAGCTATTTGGATTTTTTAAAAGAAGGTTTTTTTAGGGTGGGGCCAATTTTAACCCTAGGGCTTTTATTTGAAAAAACTTGGTAAACACTAGAAGATGTTTCATGCCAAATATCTAAGCTCTAGCACTTTGGGTTTTTTAAGAGATATTTTTTTCTCTTTCTGTTGCCATGGCAACCAGAGTTCTGCATGGAATTAAATTCTTTGAACAATTTTTAATAGTGACCAAAGGAACATTCCTGTGAAGTTTGGATGAAATTGGCTTAGCGGTTTATGAGGAGATGTTGTTTTTTTTTCTCTTTCTGTTGCCATGGCAACCAGAGTTCTGCATGGAATTAAATTCTTTGAACAATTTTTAATAGTGACCACCAAAGGAACATTCCTGTGAAGTTTGGATGAAATTGGCTTAGCGGTTTATGAGGAGATGTTGTTTAAAGAAAAAGAACGGACGGACGCCGAACAAAAAGCAATCACAAAAGCTCACCATGTCACTTTGTGACAGGTGAGCTAAAAACATATGACCTCCACACATATCCCACAATTTGATAAATCATTTTCATGATTTTTGTAGGTCACTTAACGATCATTTCTGTAATTATAATCAAAATCCACCTTATGATTTAGTTTAAGTAATATTGTGGATAATGACAGATAGTAGACGGTGAACATGCTCTGTGCATAAAGGTGAGCTAAAAAAAGTTCCTAGTACTAATTTCAAGATATACACTTTACAGAAATGAACTGCAATTTTTAAAGTTTATTTATAGTTTAAACAGATTAGTTTTGGGAAGTTGTCAAGACAAAAAATACAGTGATTAAATTTTCCTACATACCGGTAAGTCCACACAGAACATGCGACAATGTACCGGATTTTTCTTATAATGTCAGACTAAGATGAGACAGATGATTTCTAAAAAAATTGTAATTTATAAGTTATTTCCGAAATGGCCTAAACCATTAATCCACAATTTCACAACTTTAGACTCATCTTCTGCTCTGGATCATGATGATATAAGTCTGTTAAACTTTCCCATATTCATTCCAGCGTGAGCTTCCTTACTATGTTTACTTTTAACATGCCTTAAACCACCAATTCTAAGATGATGTTTATAAATGTCACAATGGTATTCATCAAGAAATTTGTTTAAATCCGCCTTGTAACCAAACTCTATCTGGTTACATTTCACACCTGTAAAGAAATGATCAAAATTTACTATCATCCAAAGGGCAATTATAGATGTTATGTGAAGTTGTCTCCCTTCTACTGGAAACACAAATAATGGTATAGTTGTTGATTCATATAGTAAGTCTTCATCTGGGTCATACATATATACTCGAAAGTTTTCTTTTGAAATTCCAAGTAATGGAACAACACTCTGCATTGTAAAAGCAAATGTTATAGTTTCTGAAATCAACTGGTGTTTTGCCTCTTCAAGTTTCCCACTTGTATCAAGTTCACACACAGTGTTACTGTCCTCTAAAACTTTGTCCTCAACTTTTGATTTAGCACCAGAAACTGCTAAAGGTCCAAGCATTATGTCAACAATACCATTCCAAACCTCCTTATGACCTGAAACATAATTTTCTGATTATAAAAAACTAGAAGCCAAGTCTGCTTTTATAATGAAATAAAAGTTCTAGTTATTTCATAAACATTATTATTAAAGCCATAACATGCACTCAGGTAAGGCCGTTGTCCATAGCTGAAGAAATTATGCAAAGTTAGTCAGTAAGTTTCTACCGTGACAGACTAATGATTCCAAGCAGCTGTTTTTAATATAAGTAACCTTTACTCAAACATCCATTGTACAACATAACACTAGCTGTAATGGAACATTCTAATTCCCAATAATTTTGGGCACAAATATTTATATGCTTCAGTTATTATTTGAATTATTACATGTACATATATATTGTAATTTCTATGTTCTTATAGCATAACATATCTTATTAGTTGGGCACATTTGGTCAGCTGATATAAAAAACTAGTCATATTCCCATGCCATATGGTGAAGCCAGCAGCCAATGTTGTACTCAATATTTGAAACAATCAAAATAAGAGCCACAGCATAGTTGGGGCCACACTTGACTTTTTGTTATTTCTTCAGTCAAAACATCAAAGAAAGAATATTATAGTGAAAACATAAATTTTTTGTAACAGATAAAATTCAAATTTCATATTTGACATTGACAGTCAAGGTCACATTTAAATTCAACAGATTTGTTTTGTCATGTGTTCTTTCATTTAATATGAATTAAATATGTAAGTAAATAACAAAGAAATGACAATCATGCAAATGTCAATAATTGGACCTTTACAGTCAAGGTCAAATTGAGGTCAAGGTGATATCAGAATAATTCAGGATGTCCTTTTTGTGATATGTGTTGTTTTGTTCAAGTAAGAATTAAATCTGTAAATAAATAACAAAGCTATGACAATTTAAGAAAATTTCAATAATATAGCCTTAATTTGCACTCAAATGCAAGAAAAGGTCAAGTTTATATTTGAACTGTTGTTCAACATGTTGATTTTGTCATAAGAGTTCTTTTGTCCAAGTATAAATCAAATCCATCTACAATAACAAAATTATGGCAAATTGCAGCAAAAATCACTAATTTGACAATGTGACAATTTTACATAGTGTCCAAGCCATATTAAGGTGAAGTTCAGTCTGTCCTACTGTAATGTATTGTCCCAAAGATTGCTATGCACAAGTATAAAGACAATTCATTCATTAATTACAAAGTAATAGCCAATAACATGTATAGCAAAAATTGTAAATTACACTAACATGACCTTCAAGGTCAAGGTTACTTATAGATCAAGGTCATATTGAGTTAAACCTTTTTAAAGACATTATCCAAAAGGTACTTGTGCTCACATTTGAAGAAAATCCATTCAAAAGTGCATGATTTTAATGTATATATAACCTAATCAAATATTTAAGCTGGGCATTATATACAGTATTTTCTGATGGATTTTATAGATTTTCATTTTGCGAATAATTTTTAACTCCTGATGCCTTATTTGTGTATCTGACTCCTGGCACCATTAATCTACCTAACAATCATCTCTGTGAAGTTTGGTCAAACTCAGCCACATGATTAAGATTTTGTTTATAGACATTGGCAGCATACAAAATGAAATCACAAATTTAAGATAAAGAGCTAAGATTAGCTGGAAATTATAAGGTAGACTAATTACCAATGCTGTTGTCACCAACATTTATTGGAGTATTACATCCACAAGGACATTCCATATTTACTAGCAAGTCAGCGTAGCCTGAATCTATTTTCATTTCATTATAAACTGCTAGCTTTCTCAACACATGCGTTCCAAATATGGCAGTCCATTGTTCATCTGTCAATGTAATGTCATCTTGTTGCTCTTCTAGAATTTTGTTTATATCTGAAAAATATAATAATTAAAAAGATAAAAATCCATCAAAAAGGGGTGCTTAGAGACTCTGTGCTGAGTATGAGCACATGTAATATTGTTAGTATAAGAAATTATATTTAAGTATATGTCCATACTCTAAGAATATATGTGCACTTTTGAGAACTCTCCGAGCCATATCTTTGATAGCAAGACACTTAGTATTATAAACGATTGCAGCTATGCCTCTTTAAATATAATAACTTATTAGAATAGTATCTGATATTCAGTTTTCAATAATGTGAATGAACATTTAAAGCTCTTATTTTTATGTTTCAATAAATATAGCTTCCAGGATTTTGATCACAGGAAAGAAGCAAAAACAAATTAAAGAAATAAGTCATGTGTTGCAACAACGCAAGTCCACTAACAGGTCCCCTTTTCACACTCCAGATTTTGTATTTCATTCAGAAGCACAACACACAGTTGCTTAAAAGATCTGATATACATATTTATTTGTCATTTGAAGCAGATGGTTATAAAATTGTTGACAATGTTCTTTTTTTCTAATAATTATAGGTACATGTATGCTATAATATATTATGTCATTTCTATAAAACTAGAAATCTATTGTTTTTTCCCTTTTATTTTTCAGCTTTATCAAGTCACTTCCTCTAGCCCAAATAGGTATATTTTTCCATGAAAATGCTATATATTACCCTGAACTGCCCAGTGCATATTCTTCATCAGAACCATGACTTAACAGCAGCTGACTTACATCAAATTTTAATTGACTGAAAGACACAAACCTGTCCGTATAAAAAGCTTCTGCTATGTACCATGCATGTCTAATTGAATTGAAATTGAAAATTTTATAAAATGTGTGTGTAAATTCCCATCTCAGTTGTTGGAATTTCCCCTTTTTCTGATTTATACTGCTATATTTTCCCCTTCAGAAAGCTACTGGTTGTTTGAAAAGTGAAAAGAAAAATATTTTGGCGGTGTGGCTGACAGGGAAGTAGCTTAAAAAAAACAATGTGTAGGCACTTTTTATAGTGGGGTTGCAAAAAATTTTTAAAATCTACATTGCAATAGCAGCATTCTGGGAGTATTCCAAGGCTTGTTCAGAAGATAGAGCGTTGGACTGTGAATCGAGCGACTCGGGTATGATTCCCTGATGGTGAAGGTAACTTTCGTTGTGATTGATCATGAAATCTTTCCTACGGTCATTTGAACTGTACCTCTACTCTGGCATGTACAGAAGTTTCAGTTCCTAGTGAAAGTGAAGGCAACTAGTACTGGTAAACTGCTTGATAGTCTGCCCAGGAACGATGCAGCGCCTGAATTGTGCTCTGGTAGATTCCATGTGGCTTACTGTCGAGATTCGAAGTAAAAACTACCAACACTACCACCAAAGGGGAATTGTTTTCACATGGAACAAAACGCATTAGTGTTGCGTTGGATTGTAATAAAGCAAGAGGGCCAAGATTGCACTAGATCGCTCACCTGACCCATCAAACTCATCCGAGCATTTACCTAGACAAGCATCCTGACCAAGTTGCATGACAGTTGAGTCAAAAATATGACCCCTAGAGTGTGAAAAAGGTTTTTCCATATCTGAGCAGTGTGACCTAGTTTTTGACCCCAAGTGACTCATATTCAAACTTGACCTAGAAGTCATCAAAACAAACTTTCAGACCAATTTCCAGGATATTTGGATCAAAACAGTATCCACTAGAGTGTTAACAAGATTTTTCTATTTTTAGCTCCTGTGACCTAGTTTTTCATCTGAGATGACCAATGTTCAAACTCATCCGAGCAATTACCTAGACAAGCATCCTGACAAAGTTTGATGATGATTGAGTCACAAATGTGACCACTAGAGTGTTAACAAGGTTTTCACATAGTTTGGCGGTGTGACCTAGTTTTTGACCCTAGGTTACCTATATTCAAATTTTACCTAGAAATCATCAAAACAAACTTTCAGACCAATATCCAGGATATTTGAATTAAAACAGTAGCCACTAGTGTTAACAAGATTTTTTATATTTTTAGCTCCTGTGACCTACAATGTATTTTTTCATCCAAATTGACCCATGTTCAAACTCATCCGAGCAATTACCTAGAAAAGCATCCTGACCAAGTTTGATCATGATTGAGTCAAAAATGTAACCACTTGAGTGTGATTAAGGTGTTTCCATATATGGGGGATGAACTAGTTTTTGACCCTAGGTGACCCATATTTGTACTTGATCTAGAAAACATCAAAACAAACTTTCAGACCAATTTTCAGGAAACTGGGAAACTTACTTTTGTTACAAAACTGGGCCTTTCAAACTCACAATAAACAAAAGCGTTTTAATGACACAGATCAAGATACAATTTACCACACTATATTTTTTCTGGCAACCAAACCAGTGCTCGACCAGGTGGTTTTATCTCTATCAGAACTTTTATTTTTGAAAAACAGATATGATTTTTTATGTTAAACAATTCTATTTCAAAAATATTTTGAAACAATTATGTTTTAATGTGTATACTGTATAGATGTAAATATGAGAGTAAATATGATGGGAAGGATATGTTATACATTGACAAATAAAGTGTTTATAAGAGTTACACTAACTGGGGAGTATGAGATTACTTATAATTCCTTATATCTTTTTTAAATTTAAAAAACTCTGCAAACATAGTTAAGTGTGATTATTGTGATACTTATGTAAAGTTGGTTTACGCTTTTAGTGGTGTGTTATCTACTTGTTACAGGTCATCTGCCATATTTGTTGACATGTTGAACATGTCAACAAATATGGCAGATGACCTGTAACAAGTAGATAACAGTTCATAGCCCTTGCCTTGTATGGAAAGCCAGGTTTTGATGATTTTTGGGCGCCTTTCCTAAGGAAATCAATTGGAAGCATAAGGGTAAAGGCAATTTATCAAAGAATTGTCTAAATTTGTCCTAAATTATCATTATTTCTTTGTTTTAACCAGTTTTTACTGCTACTTTTATTATAGAAAAGTATTTTTGCATGATTTAATATCGTCTGCAAAATGGTCAAGCTTCTAACAAACTTGGAGTACTTGGGGTACAGGTTAGGTACAAATAGCACACACAAACTCAAGAGGTTTTGTCACTTTAATGCAAAACTAGTACGCAAATAGAGGTATTGGTCCAGCACTTGGCTGGTTGAGCACAGGTAGTGAGGTACGGTCACTCTACATGCTAAGAAAAATAAACAAAAAATTGATTTTTTTGATGATCTTATCGATATTTGAATAATTTTGGGAAAGCTAGCTACTGTATAAATATGTAATATGCCTCATTGAAATTTATCTTCATACTTAACCTTTTACCCCATGAGCATATTGCGAAAAATAGCCGTTTTCATTGAAAAGCCTCCTGTAACAAGTTCAAACTGCTATGAAACTATGAAAAATGCTTCAATACTGATGAAACTTAGCACAAATGTTGACTACACCATAGCCTCTGTAACAGCATGCTCAATCGTAAATTTCCTGTTACCATGGCAACGGGGGGACGTCTCAAAATTGCCAAAAATCACTATTTTGCATTGTTTTTTTCCATCAAAACTGATTTCAAAGTGCTGCAACTTCTCAATGAATTGAGATAGAGTAAAAGGCTTTTCAGCGTCGGTTACTAGTTACCCTAAGATCGACCTGAGGCCATTTTTAGCCTGTCACATGTCCAAAATTTTCTTGGCGATGAGGGGGACTCCGCCCCCCTTCAAACCCCCCAAACAGAAGGGGGCACATCCCCCTTCTGGCAACCCCCTGATGTAACATTTGGATGGGGGACGGCGCCGAAAAAGTGGTCACTTTTTTAACAACATTTCTCAAACGAAAAACAGTGTTTGGGGCCTAAATAGGGCATTTTTTCACTGTTTGAGGCCTCAAAAGGGGGGGGGGGCAAAAAGCCGTCGAAACACGCTTATATGAGGGAAAAGGTTAAGTAGACTTTTTTGTTAATTATTTTTCTAATATTAATAAATTCATGTGATAAACAATTGACATAGTTATTAGTGTGTTGAGGGAATCAGTAATCAGACATGTCTTACTGTTTTTATTATTTTTCTACTTATTTAATTTTTTTTTTTTTTTTTTTGGGGGGGGGGGGTGAAGAATCTTCAAAATTTGAGGGTTGAAATGTCTGGGGTGGGGAAATGTCTTGTTCCCCGTCGATGGACCCGAAACGGAGCTACATTTTTTTGGCCTTACCTGAAATGTTGTCCAAAAATGTTGCAAGTTTTTCAAATGAAGACAAATATGTTTATCTAATATTTCGTTATCAATATTCCCATCCAGATCCAGAAACATTTTGACTAATTTTACATCAAATAAGTCTGGTGTCCATACCACACTCCGTTTGCCAACGTCATCTTCCTGATAATTCCTCATCGTTTCGCAATAAGCTTCAGAAAATTTACGCGACTGGTAAACATTGCAATATAAAATTTTGACAAAACAGAAAAATATCCAGTCAGAACTTAATTGTTCTAAAGCCTCGCATATCGGAACTTTATGTCTTACAAGCTGCCTGTGCACTCGATCAAAATTTGGATGCCTGCTCTTACTAAATTCATGTCTAGCTTTTTTGCAAAAAGGTTGCATACTTTCTCACGGTAGGGAATCACGTGACTTTTACGGTTACTCGTACAGACAATATGGCGGCCTAAAAACCTCGCTTCACATGTGTTTTTCAGGTAATTCTTTATTATATCCCTTTTACTTGCATACGAGACCTGTTACAGCCTACGCGGAATAAAGAATTGTTGCCGCCTATACCTTATTTTCCACCCCTGTGCTCATAGCTTTTACAAACACTCAAAAATTCAACAGGAATTTTCAATGTTAACAATTATTTTTCAGGTAACTTTCACGCAATCTTTGTATTTTTTATTAATTTGATTAAACCACGCCGAGTTAGCAAAGAGAAAATGTTCATAGAATTTCTTTATTTGAAAATGTAAATATTAGGCATGTTAAATGTTGACTAGTCATTTTCAATTCCAATGCACGAGGGAAAAATTATTTGGGTAACGGCCACGCAAACTTTTATTGTTGATAACTCCCACGCAATATTTTATGTGCAAGCAATATATATGCAGGCTATAGCCTAGATATTGATTTAACAAAATCATGATCGATGTATTTAGCCTTAAAAGTTCATAGAATTTTGAATAATATTTAAAATACCGCCAAAAGGTCCTGGATAGAATTAAGCGCCTATTGGTAGCAGAATACATACTCACGTAAATATATTAAATGAAGTTTCGATATAGAGATATAGATGAATTAATTGCAGAAATTGAAATAAAAGTCTCAAATATAAGAAGGAGGTCGATTTCAGTTTAAGCACAATTACAGTTGTCATTTTTCATAGTTTGCAGATATGGACGGTTGCAGCTCGGATATTGTTTGTGGATAATGTTAGAAAACATTTCGTTCACGGACAGGTCTTAATGACCATTTAAACTGGCTACTCGGCACAGGACCTTGTAAACGTTGTTGCAAATCGAACTGTCACAGGTATGGCATTTTACTGTTAATATTAAGATTTTAAAGACATTCAAATCATTTTATCACTTAGTCTCTTATGTAACCAATTATTTTTAAAATCAGTGTCTGTATTTAACATAATTATGTTTTTTTTAATTCTAAAGCAAAAAAAAACAAAACAAAAACAAACAACAAGAGGGACATGATGGCCCTGAGTCGCTCATCAGAAACAACTGCTTTTCAGTGTTGGATTGTCAATATATTCTAATATTAAATTTGAGCATAGAATATGTTTAAACAATGATTTTAAGAAATGCCATGACCTGGGGCACTTAAGCTTTAGCTTAAACGGGACCAATCAAATTAATATGAGCAAACTTGATAAAAGACTACCAAAGAATGCTACAGACAAAGTTTGGTGATCATCAATCAATTAGTTCTCTACAAATAGACATTTAACGGTATTTCTATTTTTATCTTTAGTGGCCCCTAAAAGGGGTTAATCAGATTAATATAAAAGAGTACCCAAGAATGCTACAGACAAAGTTTGGTGATCATCCATCAATTGGTTCTGAAGTAGAAGATATTTTTAGCTATCGCGGCCCCTAAAAGGTGCCAATCAAATTAATGTGAGCAAACTTGATAAAAGATTACCCAAAAATGCTACAGACAAAGTTTGGTGATCATCCATTCATTAGTTCTACAGGAGAAGCTGTTAAAAACATATTTCTATTTTTAATTTTAGTGGCCCCTAAAAAAGGCTAATCAAATTCACATGAGCAAACTTGATAAAAGACTACCCAAGAATGCTACCGACAAAGTTTGGTGATCATCCATCAATTATTTCTGTAGAAGAAGATGTTGAAAGGTTTTTCTATTTTTAGCCCTAGAGATTCCTAAAAGGGGCCAATCAAATTAATATGAGCAAACTTGATAAAAGACTTCCCAAGAATGCTACTGACAAAGTTTGGTGATCATCCATCGATTAGTTCTGTACAAGAAGATGTTTAAAGGTTTTTCTATTTTTAGAAGACGATTGTTGACGCATGATGACGGACGATCGACGCCGGAGCATCCCCCTTTGATACTAATAGCTCACCCTGAGCCTTCGGCTCTAGCTGGTGAGCTAAAAAAAACAACCCTAAAGCATATTAGAATGGGTCTTTTTTTTACAAACTAGGTAATAAAATCTAGAGGACTTATGTTTGAATGTTATTTTAATACTAACAGTAAAACCCGTAACGTTTCCGATTTGCTGAGCTATAAAATGTTTTACCACAAAAGTTATAAGGTCCTGTGCCGATGTGGTCATTCTGTGAATGAAATGTTTCCCACATTTATCACAATCAATATCCGAGCTGGAAACTTTCATATCTGCAAAATATGAAAAATGTCAACTGTAATTATACTAAAAAAAGAAATACAAAACCTCCTTCTAATATTTGATACTTTTGTATTAAAACGCGACCTAATTGAATGATTTGGGTTTGGTAGGCCTTACGCGAAGTTATTGATGTCCTTGGCAATTTGTGATTTTACAGGTCATGCCTTTTTGAAATTTATTTATCGTATTATTGTAACCTATAAGCAGATGAAGTGTTGTTCGGCCCATATCAAGAACGTCCCAAGACGATTCGTCAATCTAGCTGTATTTATATCTTAGTGATAGTAAAAATAAGCGTGAATTAGTTTGAAAAAATCATTATATTCATTGCATTATCGACACAAATATTGATTAAACTGTTCTTTAATGTTAAATTTTAAGCTTAATTGTCGTGAATTTATAGGTAATAATAAATCTATTTTTATATTCTAGATCCTGGTCCTGGCTGAAATTGAGAGTATTGCAGCTGTAGTTTGTATACCATACATTTCACATGAAAAGGACTGTCAGGTTTGTTGAATTGAAATTCTAATATTTAATATATATATATACTTCTTAACAAAGTATTAAAATTGCAACTACTGGACATTTATCTTGTCTTAATAATACATGTATATTATTTTTAGAATACTTGTGTAACATTATTAATATAAAATTTACATATTTGTTGTTTTCAGGATGCTGCATACAATGGTCTTAGCTAGAGCCTAGAATGAATATTTCTTAGGAATATGCTGCAAGTAACTGAAGGGGAGCAGTTTTTCTTACCTATCATAGGTGAGACTTCTAAATAGCTTCTTTTAAAAAGGTTTTTGCTGTTTAATGTACATAATTTGCTGTCAATATGAAACTTCAGCTGTATCTTAATTTCTATGCTGTTTTATTATGTAAATCTTAGAGATAATCATTTTAAGATAAAACATATCACTAAGTTGATTAATTATATATATATTTAAGATTGACCAAGTCACTTTTAATAAGTAACTTCTTATTTTATTTGCAGTAGCAGTAAGAAACAGCCAACGAAGTATTCAAACACCATATGAAACACTTAAGACATACCAGGAGAGATCTAGAAGAAGTACTAGTAGTAGAGTGGAACAGATTGTAGCTTAATTCTAGCTAAAAGGACTTCTTAAATCGTTAAAATTAAAGCTGCACTTAAACTGTCTTTTTTTGTTAAACAGTTATACTCCGAACATAAATCCAACGTTATTTCAACGTTAAAATCTGACCACAATTCAACGTTGTTCAACGTTTATGTGCCTGCTGGTTTAATTCTATCCAGGACCTATTGGCGGTATTTTGAATATTATTCAAAATTATTTGAAAGTCTGAGGCTAAATGCATCAATCATGATTTGTTAAATCAATATCTAGGCTAAAACCTGCATATATATTGCTTGCACATTAAATATTGCGTGGGAGTTATCAACAATAAAAGTTTGCGTGGCCGTTACCCAAATCATTTTTCTCTTGTGTGTTGGAATAGAAAATGACCAGTCAACATTTAACATGCCTAATATTTACATTTTCCAATAAAGAACTTCTATGAACATTTTCTCTTTGCTAACTCTACGTAGTTTAATCAAATTCATAAAAAATACAAAGATTGCGTGAATGTTACCCGAAAAATAATTGTCAACATTGAAAATTCCTGTTGAATTTTTGAGTGTTTGTAAAAGCTATGAGCACAGGGGTGGAAAATAAGGTATAGGCGGCAACAATTCTTTATTCCGCGTAGGCTGCAACAGGTCTCGTATGTAAGTAAAAGGGATATAATAAAGAATTACCTGAAAAACACATGTGAAGCGAGGTTTTTAGGCCGCCATATTGTCTGTACGCGTAACCGTAAAAGTCACGTGATTCCCTACCGTGTTTCTGCCGCCATATTTCTTGTTTTCGTTGCAATCGGAACTCCTCCGCGATTATTCATAATTGTGTTTTACGAAAAAAGCCAGATTGTGTTCCGTTGTCGCCAATTAGTTTGACGGAAAGAGCCGAAAACTTTTATAGTCTGTCAATCGCAACTACTCGGCCCTTTCCGTCAGTCTTCGGATAAGGGATCGCTCCGCCCACTGATTCACGTGACCCGGTCAGTAAGTATTCGCAAAACTGTTATGTTACCTATATAAATTTTGTATATATAAACATTTGATGCTTTTAAATGGTTTTATCGAATTAGATCTATTATTCAATGTATAAATGTATTAGGCCTATGTTGTTTTAAAAAAGTAAAAAAATATCTGCATTCAAGTATTAATGACGCATGCAACGTTTTGCAAAGATCGTGTTATTTCTTGTTGACTTCAAAGAAAATTTAAAACTGACACAATATCATTATATCTTACAATTCAGAGAGAGAGAGAGAGAGACTATATGTAGACAAGTATATGATTATGTTATGATTGTTTTATTTTGAAATTAAAGTAGCGAAACAAAAACAGTAAAATTATATCATTGACACAAATAAAATTAAAAATCATTTTTCGGGTTTTATGTCAGATAATACATTAATTGGTTCATGCTAACTTTTATGCTATGTGATTATGTATAGTTAACATATATTTGATATGATTCACGACAAAACACGTTATTCTATGGTGGCTGATTTGTGCCATTCGTGTTTTCGCCCCGCGACCCAACCAAGCGAAAGGTCGAAAGGGGCACGGAGCGAAAACACGCTAATTAGCGAGGGCGCGGGACGAAGTTTAATAAAGTTTCCTTTTAAAAGGAAAGGCTTGCACAGTTGTGCCTTCATCCCAACCCTTTAAAATTGTTTTTTTTGTTTCAATTTATTATCACATTTTTTTGAATTACGGTATTTGTATATCATAAAGGGTTTATTTAGTTGGTTTTTTTTTTGAAAACCGAATATTTTTTGTCAAAACGATTTGAAATCTATTCTCTATTGTATAAAACTAATAAAGAAAATGATCAATCGTAAAAATACTAACGTGATACTGAAGGAAAACAAGTGTGCACATTTCATTTCCCCTTTTTCGCAGCGAAATTATTCCTTTGCTTTATAGACAAGTAAATGCACTAAAATACTTCGTTACGTGGTACCAGTTAATAAGCATGTATCAACTATGTTACACGATCACAAATAGACGATGCGCTATCTGTAGATCAGCAAGTGGCAAAGTTAATAATATGCATGGGCTATTTTAGATTACCTCACCAAGAAGATGAATTGCGTTCAGTAGATCTAAATATAACTCGATCATGCGTGATTTGGTAAGCAGGACCGCCCTTTGAAGACGGAATACTACTACAGTCACCATTCTCTATTGTATAAAACTAATACAGACAAAAAACAATTATAACTGCAAGCCAATAAATAAAACTTCGCCTCGCAGGGGCGCGGAGCGATATTTAAGAAATAAAACGGCGGGGTCGCGGGACGAAAACACGCTAATAAGCAGGAGCGAGCAGCGAAGTTTTATTAGTCCCCTACCGGTTAAACCGGAGGGGACTTTAGGTTTACCCTCTGTCCGTCTGTCCGCCAGTCCGTCCGTCCACAAAACTGGATCCCGCGATAACGCAAAAAGTACTGAAAATATTTTTATGAAACTTGATATATGGATAGATGGCAGTATGGAGATTATGCACGTCTTTTTTTTTCTTCCTATGTTGAAAATTCTGGTTGCTATGGCAACAAATAGTCTGAAAATATGGCAAATTTAACACATAAACTGGATCCAGTGATAACTCAAAAAGTACTGAAAATATTTTTATGAAACTTGAAATATGGGTAGATGACAGTCTGGAGATTATGCACATTTTTTTCTTTTCTTCCTATGTTGAAAATTCTGGTTGCTATGGCAACAAATAGCCTGAATTTCAAGATTTCTTATTTAAATTTTTCAGCTTTTTCTCTATAAGTTCTTTATTTCTTAAGGTGTTTACTTCAAACTTTAAATATAAGTTTCTAGTCATCAACCACATCATATGAGACAAGGTTTACAACTCTAGCACAAAAATTATCAGTATTACCTCCCTTGAACTTAGAATTTTAATGAAAAAAAATGTTGTCTTTTTTAAATAACTTCTTTATTTCCTAATGTATCTACTTCAAATTTCATATATATGTTTCTTATTATTTTTTTCGAGAAATTGGTATTTTTCACTCCAACTTCTTCATTCCTTATATAATTTACTTTAAAATCCCACATCGTAATAATATGACAAGGTTGTATAAACATAATTTCCTTACTAGACAGTAACACATTACTGTGATATAGACAAACTTTGAACTCAAAAGATTTAAGTTCATTCATGTCATTCATTCACTGGTAAAATTGAATGGCCAATGGCCCATCAGGCTGGGGTTCTAACCGGTAGGGGACTTATGGATTGCTTGCAATACAATGATAATTGCTTGTTTACCAGTTTTATATCACTGATATATTTCTATAAATCACCGAAAAGCATGTAATAAAAACTGGTAATTTCACTGTTTGAAACAGTGAAATTACCACTTTGATAATTTCACCGTTTTGAATTTAAGCCCCTTACGTTGTTTCAGTGAAATACCAGCGTGCACAGTACTGGGTACCAACCTAATGACGTGACGTCGTAAATGACGTCACGTTGTATTATTATTTGGCGCGCTTTTCATTCAGTATTAGGTTTAATGTCTTTTTAAAACGTTTCTTTGCATGTAATAAAATGAAAATTTGTTTAATTTAGTGTAAGATCGAAATATATTTCACCTTGTGAACACCAAAAGTTCATATTTCACTCGTGGCTGCGCCACTCGTGAAATATACCTTTTGGTGCTCACTCGGTGAAATATATTCCGATCTTACACTGAACTAAACAAATATCCTCTATATAATTGTACATCAATGAGCATTTGTTGATAACATATTTTCAATCATATAAGTTTACCGAAATACATTATAGTCTACATGTATTTTCCTTTGATTGTCAACTATATATACATTCGTTTTACATTATCAAAGATTACACGTACCCTCTGTTTTTTGGTTGTATTTGGGTTGTTGTTTTTTTTTTGGGGGGGGTTGTGGGGTTTTTTGGGGGTTTTTTTAGGTTATTATTTATAATAGCCAAGATGTTCCGATTGCGGCCGAGAATCTGTCCACACTTTACTATTTTTAGCTCGACTTTTTTCGAAGAAAAAAAAAGATGTATTGTTATGTACAGTCATGTCGTCGTTGCCGTCCCCGAAAACGTTGATAATAACATTTTAAATTTCGCTATAGTTGACGGTAACTTGGTTATTATTGAATCTTTATACTTGGACGAATTAATGTTTTGAACAAGACCTAGTTTGAGCTTTTTAAATGGCATTGACTGTCAAGCTCAAATAATTGAATTTTGGTTAAATTGTCATTATTTCAATGCGCGACGCAGCTCACATAGATTTTGACCTAAGTTTGACCTAGATAACTTGATGAAGTGACCTACTTTCTTTTGTCCGTTATATACAGCTCTATGAAATTTGTACTACCGGTATGTACAGTAGATGTGGTGTACACTTTTCAAAGCAATACAACATTTGCACCCAGACCGTATTCCCTTTGAATGGATCCCTTCGAAATATGTGTGTTATATAATTGTTGGTATGGGAGCTTTCAGTTGTACAACATTAATTAAAATATGATGTACACTTTCCAAAGCAATACAACATTTGCATCCAGACCGTAATTCTATATTGTATGAATCACCAGGTTTGCCTCCAAAACAATTCCCCCTGAATGGATCCCTGAAATATGTGTAAATGTCATATAATTGTTGGTATTGACCAATCAAGAAGATTGATTAAGAAAAAGGCGTGGATAGCATGGGAAAGCATTTAGGAAATAACTATGTTCTGGAATGTAATTGCGCACCCTAGAGCCCGATCTGTATTTTGGTCTCACAGTGAAAAATTTTGTTTTCAAAAAGGCGTGGATAGCATGGGAGAGCATTTAGGAAATAACCATGTTCTGGAATGAATAACATAATTGCGCACCCTAAAGCCCGATCTGTATTTTGGTCTCAGTGAAAAAATTTGTTTTCTGCACAAGTAATGATGGTAATTCCCCCATTAAAAAAATGTCTATAATCATTTTCTGGGTAATTTGGGATTCGAACATGCCACAACTTGGAGGTTCCCCATGAGTTATTCAACATCCTTTTTACTTCATTTTACTACTATGTTTACATTTTAGCCCTGTAATTTTATTCATTAAACAAATTATCAGGGGATAATTTGGAAATATTGTCATCTGTCATCGTGGGAGGTCTATACAACAAGTATTAAGAGATAGAACATGTCCTATCCTGTAAATCTAGTATGAAAGGATTCAAGAAATAGTAGCATTCGCACATTACGATTTGCTTGTACATCTAAGTTTTAATTGGTGTTGTACTTCAAAATCCTACCGTCTGTTAAGACTTTAGTTTTCCAAGTTTGTCCAAACTACTTCTCTTGTACCAGTAACGCAATTTGAATAAAACAACAGGAGTGATCGATCCATCAATTACTTGCCGCTGCGCCTATTATACATGTTTTTCGGTTAAGTTATGGCACTTTAATATATCAAGAGGGCCATGATGGCCTGAAATCGCTCACCTGTTTATAAAAACTCTCCATGACAGGAACAAGTAATATCACAAACTAAAAACAAAAGCAGATATAAAATCTTAATCTTAAACTGATATCACGAAGTTTATATTTGTATCTGAAATACTGCATGTGTAAAACATTAGTTTTTAATATGTACATATAAAGGAAACCAATGACCCCCACGGGCCAATTTGACCATGAAATAACTTGGTAGACACTCACTAGAAAATGTTTCATGCAAAATATCTAAGCTCTTGCTTTCTGGGTTTAACAAAAGGCTTTTTGAGTTTTTACTATACACATGAGGAAAATCAATGACCCCTGGGGCGGTGCAAATTTTGGCCCCAGGGCTTTTATTTGAACAAGCTTGGTAGCTACCAATTAGAACATTCTAAATATCTTAGCTCTAGCCCTTTGGGTTTAAAAAAAAAGATTTTTTAAGTTTATACTATACACATATAAGGAAAATCAACGACACCCCAGGCAGGGCCAATTTTGACCCCAGGGCTTTTATTTGAACAAATTTGGTAGAAATCAATTAAAAGATATCTAAGCTCTTACTCTTTGGTGTTTTGAAAAGGAGATTTTTAAAGTTTTTACTATACACATGAGGAAAATTAATGACCCTCCCCCCAGGGCAGGGCCAATTTTGACCCCAGGGCTTTTATTTGAACAAACTTGGTAGACACCCATTAGAAGATGTTTCATGCCTAATATCTAACCTTTAGCAATTTGGTTTTTTAAAAGAAGATTGTTTAAGTTTTTTTTTCAATATTACACCCACTGATCCATTTAGAAGGGATTCTAAAATCAATCATAGAAAGAAAATCAATGACCCCCCCCCCCCCCTTCCAAGGGCAGGACAAATTTTGACCCCAGGGCTTTTATATGAACAAACTTGTTAGACATTCACTAGAAGATGTTTCATGCTTAATATGTAAGCTCTTTGGGTTTTTTTTAAAGAAGATTTTTAAGTTTTTACTATATACAAATGACCCCGGGGACGTGGCCAATTTTGACTTCAGAGCACTTATTTGAACATGAACATACTTAGTAGACACTCACTAGATGTTTCATACTAAATATCTAAGCACTAGCTCTGGTTTTTTTTAAAGATTTTTTAAGCTTTTTTCTTTGCCATGGCAACCGATTTCTGCATGGAATTAAATTCTTTAAGTTTATACAATTTTCAAAGGTGACCACCAAAGGAACATTGGATGAAATTGGCTCAGTGGTTTATGAGATGTCATTTAAAGTAAAGTTAATGGACAGACGGATGCTGGACGAAAAATGATCACAAAAGCTCACCTCGTCACTTGTGACAGGCAAGTTAAAAAAGGTGTTTTGGCCCTGTTCTCTAAAAAAATGTACAAAGATTCAAGTAATAATTTCAAGGTTAAGTGCAATTAACCAATTTTTTAGTATGTTCACCATATTTCTACTGCAATGACTAACACAGCAAGGGCTATTTTCACAGATTTGACCTCATTCAGTAATTTACATGGATTTTGCAACACTTAACACATTTAACTTAATAAATTAAAATACAATTTCAATATTTTATGAAACTTAGCATGAAGCTGGAGGTATGCTGCCTTGTGAAATTGTTGACAACAAACAAGGACCGACAGGGGTCTAAATAAGCTCACCATGAACACATGCTAAGGTGACGTAATAAATTAACATAAAAGGCAGTAATAGAATTTGTAATTTTTATTTTCATCTTTAAGAAGCCAGATGTACATAAAGAACAATAAATAGAAAGAGTGTAAAAGATGTAGAACGTGACAAGAAATAAAATGATCAGGAAAATGACTGTCATAGCCAGACTATTTAAATGACAATGACTAGTAGTCTAAAAAGTTGTGTTCAACAATAAGAGAAAAGTGTTAACATTATTGCTCCAATGTAGAAAAAAAGCAAATAATATTTCCCATAAGATTTTTTTTTCTTTTATCTGTTCATTGCAACTGATCAAGTGTCTTATTTATGAAAAAGGTTTCTTAAAAAATGATTTTCTTTTTGCGAAAACCAGTGAAAGGCCCTATAAAAATACATAAAAAAGAAATATAAAAACAGGCAATCTAAACAAAATGGTTAATGCCTAAATCAAGGACAAAGCCATCATAATGAATATCCTGATTTTTTTTAAAAAGAAATAAAAAACAGAAGCTTGTCAACCAAGATGGAATGCAAGTTTTTAAAACAAAATTAAGACAAATATATCACAATTACTCAGAAAATGGATGAGCATATTCTTTTTTCCAGATGACAGAAATTGATGGATACGCTTCTCCCCATAGTAAAGAACTTCTAAAACATTTACACGAAAGTTAAATTTACTCCTTGTGCACAAAAAAGTCATTCACAATCCAAAATGAGACAAAACAATAAAATAACATCCTTTATAGCAAATTTGATATACCACTTAAATAGGCACTGAATAAAACACTAAATTAAAGTACATTTCATATGAAATTATGACTTAACGTTTCATAGTATACAAAGTTTGTAAATAATACACCAAACATGAACAGAAATGTACCTAATTCAGTAATGGGAAGTCCTACAGAAACAAAAAAGGATCGATTGGATTGTGAATAAGAAAGTATCTTTATATTTTGTTTAATATAATAGAATAATCAATCATTTCTTTACATTTGTTAGATATTAAAAAATTCACAGTACAACATTTCGGGACTTGCCAATGAATACTTGGAATCATTTAAAAGTTCTGAACATTAACTGAACCTGACTAGGCAGTTTGTTAATAATGCTCTTTGTATTCCTGCGACAGAGCCTGTAAAACTGGAAATACTGTCCACATCCGTTCACACCCAACATGACATCAACAACTAGTCCCACAATTGGTAAAAAATATGTAGCAGTCAGTCTTTACTTAGAGGTCATCATGGTCACAAATTCTAAAAACACAAAAATACAAATTAAGAATAAATGTCATTGCATAAATCCAACAAAGCTTCTAAGGCATTTCAAAAATTATTGGAGAAATCAGCCCTTGACAGCAAGGGTGTCCCAAAGAATCGTTCAACACCAAAAACTGGGAAAGAACTCCAAAACTGACATGCTAGGTGTTCTACATACTTATAAAAGCCCTGGTCTAATGACTAGAAAGATGACTAGGAGTTTCATGAAATAATTTTCTGTTGTTGCAGTGCAACTCTTCTTAATTGATTGCTTTTTCCTATGTGAAAGCAATTCTGTCAAATAGTTTATTCTGAAGTATTAATAATAATAGTTTATTCTGAAGTATTTTCAAATTGCCTAATTCATCATGCAACTATATCAGACTTTTTTCATACATCCCATTTAGAAGGGACTCTTAAATCAAAAGGTGTTCCAACTGGGTATCTGGCTAAAAACATTGAAAGAAGTTGTTCTGTTTTCTCAGTCTGTAGCAGTGGCTGTTCAAGGGGCTGCTACCTCTCTCAGTGATTATTCTCACTTTATTGGGAAGAGGCCTTAGCCTTTTAATTTTGGGGAAAATTATCGCTAAAATTGCTAATTTGTGAAGTAAAAAAGCTGGTTTAAGTTCTGATTTTTGGGTGACTGCACGATTTTAAAGAAAATTTTAATTGGGAAGAGGCCTTTTTTCTGCGTCTGTTATATAAGTAGGAAAATCCCTGCCTCTGATTTTTTTTTTTTAAATCATGCAGTTTTCCCTTAAAAATCAATTGACATATTTTCTTCCACTTACACAAAAAATACCATGGCACCACTTCCCCAACATATACACATATTTAAGGTAAGGACCCCAAAACTTCAAAATATCTAGAAAACTCTGACTCGCACTTTCTTTTTCACAAATCAAAAAGGTCTAGTCCGGGGAGAAAAGTCTTGCGGCCACTTTCATAATTAGAAATCTCCAATTAGGATGTGTGGAAAAATCTGATAAACTTAATAATAAATCAAACAGCATAAAATGCCCAAGAATAAACTATATTTTGCAGACCTTTAACTTTTACTAAAGAATAATTATCATTGAAAACTTCAGCTGCAAAACTGTGCAGAACCCTTTGGTTTAGACACCATTAAGCAGTTTTAAGCACTAGGGTGGAAATAATAGGTAGGTACTCCATTGAAAAAGTCTGGATTTTAAAAGCTGCCCTGTATAAGCATAAAAAAGTTTTTTGGTGTCCTTGGAAACCACAACACTTTTTGTGTCACACGCTGAATTGGTGTCTGTACAATACAATTTCTCATGAGGAATCTATCAACATGTTCATAAATATAAACAAAAATTACCTCACTATATTAAATCTGATAAGCAATTGCAACCAATGATTATGGTTGAACCAAGATTGATTTGTTCAAATAGAAGTGTCATTTTAAGTGGAATCAATGAAAACAGTTGGGTTGTTGGTACCAAAATATTAACACATAAATGAATGTATTTGCTATGTTCAGAAAAACAATTAACACTAACTAGTTTCTCACTAGAAGCCTGAAATATTTCTAGAGCACACTTTTAGAGCATTTCCAATGTAACAAAATATAAAACTAAGGTTTAGGTATAACTGGACATAAATCATCTTACCTTCGTAGTTTACTTGACCATCACCATCAATATCAGCTTCTCTGATCATTTCATCTACTTCTTCATCTGTAAGTTTTTCTCCTAGATTTGTCATCACATGTCTCAATTCAGCTGCACTAATAAATCCATTACCGTCTTTGTCAAATACACGGAATGCTTCACGAATTTCTTCTTCTGAGTCTGTGTCCTTCATTTTTCTAGCCATCATGGTGAGAAATTCTGGAAAGTCTATAGTTCCATTACCTGAAAATAAAAAATAACTACTGTATGTGTAGAAATATTCGCGGGCTTCAAATTTTCGCGATCTTCGCGGTGACATTCGATCCGCGAATTCATGTTCAGCGCGAATATTTCTACACCAATAATTTCTTAATAGTCATATTTTCGCGCATCTATAGAACAATGTATATCAGTGTGTAAACGACTGCCATTAGTCTGGTATCCGTGGCGATTTCAAAGAGTGATGTTAATGTTTTATAAACCAGACATGTAACATTTAGCTCTGAATATAAATCAGTTTGCTAGTGTAGTATTGTTTGACTGATATGATTATCGGATTCTTGTATAAACATGTTTGAACAATACCATTGTATCACGCTATTTATTTTATAGTCTGAGTCATAAACGTCTTTACATCTGATCAGATTATATTTTGTTTTTCTAAAAAGCAATTACACAAATAACACAAACAATTAACGATTCTAACTGATGAAAACATGGAAAACAAAACACAATTACTCAGCCAACATTTTAACAAAATTGGTAAAAAGATTATGGTCTCATTCAGTGCTGTTTAAAACTGTGAAAAATCACGCGCGTTAACGGACATTCTTTTGTTTGCCATAATCTGTCCGCTAGACAAATTAGTGTCTTTGTTCTGTACAATAGCGTATTGTTTGACACCAGGTGTTGAAAATAACTGTGAAGTCCAAAATGATTACAGTTAAAAGTATGTAAATAAAAGAAAGCTGCTTGCGAAAACCATTGCCGTATCGTGTAAGAGTAATTTTCTTATTTCTAACCTGATGGACGTACGCGAATTTATGATTTTCGGCAGTCACTTCCGCGAATTCAAAATAGCGCGAATATTTGTATATACCCCCAAAATGGACCTTTCCGCGAAAATTTGCTTCCGCGAATTTAAATACACATACAGTAACTGCATGTTTCTTTCTACAAAGACTCACAGTCACAAGTTCACAATATTTATCAATATGCTAGTTAGAGTGAAGATTGAATAACATTTTTAATAAGCAGTTATCCTGTGAATCTGCCCAATTTGCCTCCAAAGTATTCCAAAATTTCACTAGTCCACTCATAAAGTAGAATCTGCAGCAGTACTAGTAGAAAATCAACTGATTACATAACAGCTGTACTGATTATATTTAATTTGTGTTTACAACTGGAAACGAAGCCAATATTTTAGGGTGACAAGCAAATCTGATTCCACATTCCTGCTAACAAATTGATCGATACTGTGACTGTGTTTTATGCATAGCCAAAAATATAGGCTGGGTTTCCAGTTTGCTTTTGTAAGTTTTGTTAATGAAATATTCTAGTATCTTTAACTTACCCTTATTTTGTTGATAACAGTAACATTTATTATTAATTTAATCGATCACTTTATATCTTCAGTTTTATTAGGCCTCAAAGAATTTTTCTAGGTTTACTCACCCTTCACAAAATGTACTTGGCTTGCATTTTCATGGACAAATATAGTTAAAATCAAAAACATATGTCTCAAATTTACTACAGTCAAACTTGTATTAAGCGACCGCGCAAGGGAAACATCCCCAACGGTCGCTTAATGAAACGATCTCTTAGGACAAAGCATGATATAAAAGTCAAAATTTATAGATGAAATCTTTCTTATGCGGTGGAAATGTTTTTCAACTTTTTTATATAAATGTTGAATAATTAGTATGCTCCAATAATCTAAATGGATGCTTATGTAAAAAATAACTTTCTGATAGTTTAATAGATAATTTATTGACAAAACAGTTTTGATCCATTACGTACATGTTTGACATTTTTTCGAGAATTTTTTAACTTCTCCGTTGTTTTTCCTTTACTCCAACACGAAAACCCTATTAGTGAAGATGCTTTCTGTTGTGCATTTTTTTCATTAGAAATAAACAAACTACATCTTATTGTTATGATTAATTTAATTGCTGATCAAGTTCAAGGTCAATTCAATGCAGTCTAAATGTCAACGTATACACCATCTCAGTAGGGGCGGAGCGTTGTATTGTTTATTCGATATTATTGGATAATACACATCACGCATATATTTAACTTCATTTGCATACGCAAAAACGGTTTTTCACACGTTTATTTGTTGTGTTTGATTTTTGACACTTGTGACTTTACAAGGCGGCGTTCTCTAAAAACACAATTACTTGACAGGTAAAAGTGGTCGTTTAATGAAAAGATTGATCTCAATTAGCTGACTAATTAGTGGTCGCGTTGAGCAAAAGTCGCTAATACATTAAAGATATCGAGAGAAAATGATCGGGGGGGTTTAAAGTGGTTGTTTAAGACAAAAGTCGCTTAATACACGTGGTCGCATGGGCAAGTTAGACTGTATTTACCGGTCTATATTGGTACATGTATAACAGGCTTTAATCAATTACATATTGTTTATTGTATAAGCGGAAAATTATGAGTCACAAAAATTTTGCGAATGTAAAAAAATGGACATTTTGTGTGCGGAAATATTTGCGAAAATATGATTTCTTGAATTTAAAAGCGTTTTTTGCAAGTACATGTTAAGAATATGCCGTTATAGTAATTGTTCTATTCAGTTGTTTAATACCTTTATATTCTTGTGTTATATGAATAACCTTTTGTTTTATAATATTTAACACATATAGTGTTTCATTAAAACATTAGTGATTTGTTAAGACCAAGCTTAAACAAGCAATGAGAAAAATAAATCTCAGTGCCTGAACAGTCAACTTAATATGTAAGATGCAATAATAGAAGATTGCCTAAAAGAAATATTTTTTGCACGATCAAATATTTGCCAATATTTTAAATTCACAAAAATCGCCACAAAATTTACCACTTATAATATACAGTATAATATTTCTCATACTTTTTACTCTGAGCGCATTGTTAATTGGATATGGGTGTGGCTGGAATGTGTCTTACAATGCCCTATAAAGTACGCGATTTATGCATAATCAAAAACACAAGCTTTGTTTCCGGTTTTGGTTTGTTAAATTTATGTTAAAGAAATTGATTATGAGAATGTATTGATACATCGTACGACAATTATCAACAATATATCAATATATCAAATTATATTCAAAGTAGAGTGAAAAACACTTGAACATTTGTTACAGACATGCTCATGGTGTCATGTAATTTATTTTTGGATGTCACAAAATTTAATACAATAAACATAAAGGAAGTTTGTTTTTGCAATTTTATTCTCAATGACTAAAAATTGAACTTAGGAGTTTAAGCTAGCCATAAAATATGAAAAGAAGTGACTTCTCTATTACACAAAATGGAAAAATATTTTCACAAGACAAGAAAAAAGATTTGAGTGTATCAATATTCAAAATTGTGTATCAATATTGTTTTGAATGGTTAACATCGATGATACATCGATATTGCGATATTCAATGACAGGCCTATGTGTAAGCTGTCGGCAGATCCGATGAACGGTATTCCCAGGGGGTTCGAATTCCAGTTAGTCTGAACATTTTCTCCTGCCACACCTTTATAGATTTTAAGCAAATCAAAGTTAACTAAAATGTTAAGTAGTTTTCAGCATCACAAAGGAAGACATTGCATGACTTCTATAAATAACTTTCAAGACAAGTGCACATCAAAGAACAAATGTTGAATAAGTTTCAAAAAGCAAATTTAATTTACTTTTTTCTTTGTAATTCCTGAAATGTTGCTACTCCAATGCTCAAGATAATTTCACCAGCAAAAAAAAATATATAAAATCGAAACTTACCATCGGCATCCACCTCATTAATCATGTCTTGTAACTCTGCTTCTGTAGGATTCTGCCCCAAGGACCTCATTACTGTTCCCAACTCTTTTGTTGTGATTGTGCCATCACCATCCTTGTCAAAAAGACTAAACGCCTCCTTGAATTCTGTATAAATTATAACAGCTTCAGCAAAAATACTATCAAATGGCAAAGAAGCACAACCAATATCTATCTATCTTCCATTAATGTCAAACCCCTCGCAGGGACATAGACATGACTTTAGATTAGTCACTTAAGAGAAAGCTATGGGATACAAGGAAATCCGGGAACCAGTTCCTAGCTCTTATTGAAAAGACCCCTAGGATCTTTTACATGCCCTGTGAATAGTACTGGATACATACGAAGGTTTTACCAGTACACCTCTTAAGTTAGGTGGGAAAACACTGAAAGGTGTCTCTGAAAAAATCCCCAGGTGTTAAAACCCCAGGATCGAACCCCGGGACCTCAAGGAGTGACATAAAGTGGTCTAACAAACCCTGACCCTATTGTGCCGCCCTCATATTCAAGGGGTCAAATAGATCTTAAATACATACCCCTTACATTTCCCACAGAAAAAAAAAAAACAAATAAATGTGTACAGCAGTCATGATGGTAGCCAGGAAAAGGTTTCCTGTCCGGTGCACTGCGAATACAATTGATGCCATCATGGTGAATATCAATAAACTATTAAATTTTGTTAGGCATGAATTAATAAAATCTTATTCAGCACGAAATTATTTGCATTCCATCAATGACATAGATCTACATTGCAAAATTCATTCTTATAAATAGAGATTTCAACTTCCAATTTCAATTTATATAAAACATACCAGCAATTTGTTCTTCAGTCAATTGGTCAGCCTGAAATTTAAAAAAATAATGATTATGTTCAAGTATAAATAAACATTAATGTGATTTTATGATCGGTACTCTCAGTGCGGACTACTGGCGAATGGATACCTACTTGGCTACGCACTAGCGAATGCAGAGTCCCGCCAATTCTAAAGTAAATTAAGACATTGAAATTAAGTAAGCTAGACTCAAGATAAAATCGGGGAAACAATTTAATACCAAAAAAATATATATATATATGAACATAAAATAAGCACAGTAAAATTCTTGTTTTCGAAGTAGATTATTTTTGCTTAAATATATTTGATATCAAACGTTCAATAAATCATCCATAATAACAATGATATTAAGTATTTCCAGCTTGAATTTATCAACAAATTTAGCATGGTTACTTTTATGAAGCATTCAAAAATAAAATACATTAGTTAAAAGGTTAGATGGTAAATATTAGCGACTCACCATTTCAGATTCTTTTCCTGTCACAACAATTGATACTCGGTAATGTTGCTGATGCAGAGGAAATGTATAGTATTAATCCGCTGGATAGAAAACTGTGTACTTCTTAAACGAAAAATCCGATAACAACTTCTATTAAATAACAATAAATAAAATGTCTCATCAAAACTTTTATAAAAGTTCGTTTTCTATATCCTTCTTAACTTCATAAGTAAACTGCATCAGCAAAACATCATGCGTACTACTTTTTATCTCAACTTCATTGTATGTTATCTGCCTACATCCTAATTATTTGTTAAACCCACTCTCATTGGTTAGAATTTACCTGCATTGCGACAGATGCCGCAGTATCGGCGAAAACAGATAATCAAGATTTGGACCATGTGATTACTCTCCTTTTATATCAGAACTCAAAACGGGTTGAATTCATAAATTTATTTGTCGTGTGTGTCGCAAACAAGATCTAAAGTAATCGATATTAATCAAAGTCAAAGTACTTTAGAGATAATCAAATAACCGCCTGTACTGCAGTACTCATTATATAAAGAGTAACTTTGAGCTTTAAATAATAGGATGATATCAGTGTCGTAGCTATATTATTAGGCCACGTCGGCCCGGTCCTACAAGTTGGTTTTCAAAAGTCCCAAAAATACAATATTTAAAACAGACGGGGATGGGGGTGGTAGTGGGTTCAAGCCGTATGGTCGAATCAAGTGTGTTTTAGGCTTATGCATGATTTACAGCCCTCAGTAAAATAGAGAAAATAAGAATCCCTAAAGAAAGCTCAACACGGCAAAATTGAAATTAAATGTTGCAGGCTCGTTTGATAGACCCACTGTTCATCACGGTACTGTCAAATTGAAAATACGTCGCCTGGCCCTGTTAAAATAATGAACGGTAATGTCGAGTGGCAACGTTAATGCCATTGATAGTAAGTGCCATCGATTAAGGCGCATATGGTCCAAAGGAAAAGAAAGCGTGTGCCCTCAACGAGAAAACAATGGGCGGAACTAAATAAAATGGAATTTTGAAAGAGGATCAGAGGTTATGAAGCCTGCATATCACAGATAAGACGTCAAAAGACAAATTTAAAAAGCAGGCCACACATCCTAAGAGTGATTCAACAGTATTCAAGTGAGGAATACTGGTCGAACCACCCAACAAGAAAATAGCCGAATAGAAAAAACTAAATTACCACAGGCACAACAATAGTGTCGTGCTGAACGATCTTTAAGGATCGGAAATATAACATCTCTGATTGAATGTACGGGGCGACTTTTTACAGCCTCCACACACTATTTCTATGGTTCAATAGAAATTGAAAAAAGGTAGAAACCAGAATATTTTAAGAGAACACAGGATATATGTAAGTTATGTTACGAAGCAATTGGAAATGAATATCATTTTGTTTTAGTTTGTAAAAAAAAGTTGTCTTTGATAAGAGAAAGATACATTGACAAAAAAATCTTTAAAAATCCTAATATAGTTCTAATGTGCTCTCGCTGTGAAAATGTTATAACAAACTTAGCTATGTATGCATATTATGCATTCAAAGAGAGAAATGAGATATTAAGTAATACAGATACTGACAGTTATAAACTATTATTGATACATGTTGAGGATATGCTTACTATATATTGTTGATATCATATTCACAGAATCATTTTGTATGTTGTAACACAGATACCTAAGTTTGAAATTGTTACTATAAAATATTTGAGAATATGCTTATAATATCATTAATGTTACTTTTAAGGAATCGATTAGTTTTGTTGTTTTCAATTTTGCAACTTCAGTGTTGAATAAGTTTCTACAGTGATGTGATAACTGGATTTACTTTTCATTTCGGGCAATGTTGTACGAAGCTCAAGTCTGATCAATGTTAAGGTTATAGTATTTATTTCTTATTTTGCAAAGAACAGTTATAAGTGAAGATCTTATGTTTTGTTTTTCGTTAAGATCGACACGCACCTTGGTAAAATATTCAACAATATTTTGTGTGTTTTAATATAAACATTTTTATGAACCATTGTATACATACATGTTTTATTCCAGTTAATATGGTATATTTCAATGTGAATGGTACGGAAGTATAAAGTTTTGTATTTATCGATTATTGTCTTAAAGCAATGTTGTAAATTGACTTTTGTCTCGTGAGCAATTGTCTGCAAGCATTCTAGTTAAAATGTTTTTATTGTTAGTTGAAAAGGTACATTGTATTTGCTTAGTAAAGCTACAATTAAAGCTAGACAATTATATTTCCATTCCAAACTATATTATCAAAGATGTTATAATTATTGTGATATCAATTCAAGGATTTTGCTTTCGGTTAAATATACTCCATACCAAGTTAAAATAATTGTATCTTTTTCAAATAATATGTTAATTTATCATGTATAACGATTAATATCGATCTGTGCTGGCACCAGTCAAAAAATTATATCACAATGTATATATTGTTGTAATGGGCCGGTAGCCAATATCAATAAATTGTCATTGTCATTGTCAATGTGGTGTAATATCGGAGGAGACAAAAACGGCAATGATATTTGGCATACCGAGGACAGTCCTGACTGATATATAAGCTCAGTGGAAATGCACCAACTGGTTTGAATCGAACTAAACAGTGCGTGCTGATAGCAACACAATATATACTTAAGTTTTTCTCGTCGTCTACATGTTACCCGCTTATCTGTTATGAAGTTAAAATTGACATGTCTTAGATCATTATGGAAGAGAAAACAGATTTAGAGGACTATATTGGGGAAAAAACATGTGCCGGTATCAATTATTTTAATACCGGCACCCTTAGTTAAGCGGAAGACCTGCTATGACTTTGGGCCACTAGAGATTAATGACGATTATGAACTCTACAGATGATGGTTTAAACTGAGAATTAATTTGTAAAAGAAATGAGCCGTGTCATGACAAAACCAACACAGTGCGTTTGCGACCAGCATGGATCCAGACCAGCCTGCGCATCCGCGCAGTCTGATAAGGATCCATGCTGTTCGCTATCAGTTTCTCTATTTGTAATAGGGTTGGTAAGCCAAAAGCATGGATCCTGATCAAACTGCGCGGATGCGCAGGCTGGTCTGGATCCATGCTGGTCGCAAACCCATTATGTTGGTTTAGTCGTGACACGGCTCAAATGTTTCCGCTATACAGCTTGTCCGTGGTACATAATGTGCATGTGCACTGCTGACCAAATGTAATTTGAAATCCCGGCTTCAAAGATTGATAATTAAATTTGTTCACTATAAATCAGAATCTATGCGTGTAAAACGTACAAAAAATGTATCTACACGTGCAAATTTTTAACTGATTAAAGTACAACTATGTTTGTGCCATAAAGTGTTATCAAAAGTGTTTTAGGGTCTAGATCTAATCGGGGTTTTTTTTTATCTTAGTCAATATGTAAATTTGTCATTATGTCATGTGGCATAGCATTTTTTCACAATTGCAATCTCGTTTTTTTTTCTTTAATTACTTTTTAAAGATTTGATTAAATATTTTGTTTGCTTTTAGAAAAAGTAAAAAAAAAATCGAGTGTTGCCCCTGTCAGGCGGTGGCTCTTGTTTATTTTATATACGGGCAAAGACAAATTTGTTTTCAACTTTTACGTGGGCAAGTTTCCAATCATGACAGTGGTCACTGTTGTAATTCAATAATCTTTCGTTTATATGAGGGCAATATTTCACAGCGCGTTTTTTATAAATAAGTCATACCTGTGAAAAATAATTAATAGTCCTTCAAAATATTCACCATGGGCCACTGCACACTTTTCCAGCCTCAGAATCCATTCCGCAAAAAGCAGTTTTGATCTGTTCTTCGGGTATACTGTTTATACACTGGTAGAGAGCGCTACCGAACGGTTTCGAACCGGCGACCGTGAAGGCAAGATTTGAAGAAAGTCACAAGGAGAGAGGTCAGGTAAGGGAAGTAACTCTTCGCTGACTGTTATCGCTTAAATGAAAGGGTCTATAAGCGGAATGTAGAAAAATCTCAATTTTCTGCTCCTCTAAATAAGCTTGAACCAAGGCTACGGTGCGTAGGTGCATTATCATAGACTTATTTGTTCATGCACACCCGGACCTTGGGTTCTTTGTAATGTAGTGATTAACTACAGCAACGGTAAAATGTTCCAGTGACACTACCCCTCTCAGGCACAGCGACACGGGCCTCTATTTTAAAAATAGAGCGTACATTACTCTTTTAACGCTCCTGCTACGCCGAACAACAACTGGGTAATCGCTTTCTTCACCTACCCACATTTTGTCACTGAGTTTATTGGCGGGCTCAAAAAAATGAAGCCACGTTTCATCCCCTGTGACAATTTCTCTCTGGCGTCTAGGTTCTCGATCTTTGAACCTAGTCAATAAGGCCAAGGTTTTTTTCAACCCGCTCCCCTTTCTGGCCAGAAGTGGGAAATGCGGGATCCAACGGGTGCACACTTTCCTTAACTTTATCTATTCTTTCTAGATGGAAAACACATATGACACACTAAGGCACTATATGTCACTTATCTCCTCCACGTTATATCTTGCATCTTCATCAACTATGGCTTTGACAGTGCTGATGTCTTTTTCAGAAGTAGGGGTAATTGGCCACCTAGGGCGGTTTCATTCTTAACATTAGTTCTACCTTCCTTAAAAACTGGCATCCGCCTGGCAATTGAAAGGGCGTTTTCTCCATAAACTAAACCTAGGTCCGTTTTTATTTCTGACGGACATTTACCAATAACCCACGAATTTTGCAATAAGCTCTATGCTCCTCTCTCAAATCACAATGTTTACAACCAGTATACAAAACCACATGTATTTAAATGACCCGCTAAAATTTTATTGCACGCGTGAATCGTGCGAAAATATACTGTTGGTTAGATTCCGACGATATTTATATACATGTACTTTCACGTGCAAATCATGGTGCCACTTATTAAAATATGTCATATAGGTCGTTCTCTGTAGAATGAGGTACCTCATAGAATAAGCGTTATAAGGTCCTTAAGTTTATTTTAAGTTCAAGATCAGTATATATTCAGGAACATATTTTCAGCACAGTTCAGGTTAATTTTAATGCCTGTGTGAGGCAAACAGTCATAGCAGGATTTGTCCACACCTCTGTATGAACAAATGTTGATTAATGTGACTTTATGCTAATTATTTCGCTGTCAAGTTGAATTGAATTAGTAATATATTTCAAAAGATTGACTTTTATAACGGTTATTGACCAATACTTGAAAATGATAAATGTTTACAATTAATAAAATATAAATACATAAAGATAGTCATGAAGTAAAATGCATATCATTTTATTTCAAAAAATCTTATTACATGTACTTACACATTAAAATATACATAAAAATCAAAACGGCTCTATAAGAGCCTTTAACATTCTAATACAAATACAAACATAGTAATATTTTTATTTGCAATCATTTTGATTTAAAAGAAACTATAAAATTATAATTACTTACAAATAAAAATACACATTTAATATTAAACGTGGTAAAATACCTATCTGTACATGTTTTACTCAGTGGGAAAACAATCATAAAGCTTCATAACGATTTCTGCCCGCAATATGTTGATAATAAATGTGTATTTATTGAACATTGGTTTAATCAACTCGATCTTAACTATTGCTTAAATTTTTGAAACACATTTAAAATGTTTGTAATTTTATATAGTTATAGTAGTTTATCATGTTCATTATCTGAATGCTATTTTGTATGTCTTAATCTCCATAGGTTTAATATCTATTATATTTGATATAGGATGGTTGCTAATCTCTGATACACCAGTAAGTGACATCTCGGAAACTGTAAGAAGTTGTAACCCAAAATCTGACCATTCTAGCGATCCCTGAAATATATACGTTTAAAGTTACGTAGGAGTAAACTTAACATTGCATTGACATGCAGTGTATAATTATTGTAGGGGGATATTCTTTTAAAATAGCATTCTGCATTGAAGACAACACTGTCGTCGGAAAATTTTAATTAAGACTTTGTCAATGACTCTTCGCTTTGTATGTTTCCGTTATTTATTGTTGCTATCTATTCTGTGGTGAAAAATGGTCATATATGATAACTAACCTTCCCTGAGCATGCCATGATTTTATCAAGAAACGAACAATCTAGACCTCGTCTGTGAATAGTGACCAATGCTTCTTTATGTTTACTGTGAACAGGCAGCATGCGAATGTTCAATATATGCCAACCACATGGCAAAGTTGGCAGAAACTGTCCGTTCTTTCTATCGTCTGGTATGGTATCTATTACTGATGTTGAATACACTTTCAACGGACTGTTCAATATATCCGCCAAGTGGCTTGTTCTGAATGTGTCAACTCTCATGTACTTATTTTTTGACAGTTCTTCCTGTAAATTAAAACTGCTTATTTTTATAAAAAGAATAAGCAACTAGTTAATCAATATGAGCAATAAGTACACGAAAATCATCTGTCATATGACGAAAGGAAATGGAAAGCTTGACGGAAAAGCAAATAGTTATATGTATATTTTTTTATTTCATGATTTTAAACTTTTGATGCGACATATCATCGCCTTAGTGCAAGAACTGATTATAAAAAAACTTTCGCTGGTATTTCCCGAACTTCAATAATGACAACTGCGTTACTGGTAGAAAAAATAGAGAGCTTAAATGATCATCCATGCACTTGAATGTCACCAGTATGAATAGATTCCTCAGCGACCTTAACCATGGAGAACCTTTAAGCAAATAAACTAACTTTATACTTAAAATGCACACAATTCTCTCCATTTTACATACCTTATATCCATTGATTTTCTTTTGAAACGTAAGATAAAATGAACTTTTTGTTAGTTTATTATCCGTCACACCTTGGTTTAATCCCCGCCAGTCATCTTGTAAAAGTCTTCTGTCCAGTATAACTTCCAACCATCCTAAAACAAATGACTTATAAAGGTTATTCAAGTATAAATACGGGATTTATTTTCATCGAGTGGTATGAGAATTATCATATTTCACTCATGGCCACGTTTTCTGTTTATTTGACCTTACGATTCGCAACACTCCCCCATTGTTCAATTACAGTAAAACCTGATAAGAAACAACAACAACAACTGCATAGATTTGGCAATTTAGCACAACCAATGATTTGAGCCACAGTTAATTGACATGACGTGAAAAGCACATAGCTTAGAGAGGAATAAAAATAAGGTTATGTATTTAGCATGAGTCAATAACAATCCACTTCAAAATTTTAATTCATTTATAGTTCTCGTTCATTTTTTTCGGTAGAAAATCAGACTTTCAAATTTATCAACAGTTGGCCACGTAAAAAAAATGGTTTTAAATATTGTTTTTTGCTTCTTAAACTATTTTGGTCGAAATTGATATGTTAAAAAATGGGTCAAAGACAGAAAGGCCGGGTTGCATATGTATACCAAATATCATGAGGCTGTGATGTTACTTTTCTACCACTGATGTTTAAAATTTAACTAAGTGGATGAGCAACAGACCTGAAATCGAATCCAGCGGTATGGGACCACATGTTGATGCTGTATACCAAATATAAAAAAGGCTGTGATAAGTAGTTGCTGAGAAAACTGTTACGAAAATTTCCTACCATTGATCATTAATTTTGATAATTTAACTAAGTCGGCAAAACTGTTACAAAAATTTCCTACATTGACAATCAATGTCGAAAATTTAACTAAGTCGGTAAACAGGAAGTGGATTAGCGTATGGGACCACAAGTTGATGCTGTATACCAAATATCTTAAGGCTGTGATAAGTAGTTGCTGAGAAAACTGTTACGAAGTAACCCGGCCAAAAATTAAGTGTTTGACTGCACAGATTCATTTTTCAGACTTTTCGGTAGTTATTTAGTACAATAACAACTAACGATTCAACATAGTTTCTTTTAGATGCTTGTCGTTCAATGCATTTATATGTTGTTCCAATTGGCTTTTTTTAATGAAAACCTATTGTACTTAAAAATTGAAAATTCGAATTGTTTTTCATATTGTATTGTGCATCACACTGTCTATTTAGACAGCCTAGTAAACGAATATTGAGTTTAGTTGATACTATTAGTATGGCGAAATGATGTCATACGACGGACTGGTGACATCTGCTGAGATACAATCGGAACCTTTTTTGTCGATATTAAATCAATAAAGGAACACAATTGTCAGTGAGTGAGTTTGTTCAACATTTAATCATTATCCTACTATCAAAGATGAAACTCTCCCAGTTAAACAACCGATACGACTTACGATCATACATTTATTTAGAATCTTCAATGAATAAATCATTTAAATTTTAGTTTATAAGAGAAATCACAAAATGTTCTATAAATTACCCGTGACGAGACTTGCTACTCCGTGACTTTCAGACGTTAATAAAGTAAACCTAGACGTATTATCTTCTAATACTGCCGATGACGTCATTGGGTAAATATTTCCCTGGAGAGACATCCTTGATCTTGTCTTCCGGCGATGAAGCTAAAAAAGTTTGATAAAATTATTAAACTAGATAACTTTGTTAGGATGATGATTTGAATACATTGTATATAATTGTGTTGATGTAAATATAAAATGGCTTGAAAAGTATATAAATATAATGTAACAGTACTCAAATTTTCAATCAATCTCTAAAAGATGACGATAAGAAACGCTGCTTCCGTTGATGCAAATATATATGATACGTGACTTAATAAATGAAAAAAAAAACTTAATAAACTTTAAAATACCTGAAAGCCGTTGGAGTCGCTGTAGAAATAATCATTAGAGTTCAAAGATGTCTCGACACGCATGGCTAACTCGGTGTTGTTCCAACGTTGATTGTTGATGTTTACGAAATTTTCAACATGTATAATATGACCAAGGGAACCTTCAATATATTATAAGATAACACACATATTTCTTGGCAACAAATGCATAAATTAACACATATATTTGATGTCATCAAGAATTATTACATGCACGTTTCTATGACAATTACTTAACGCGTGAGTTTTATTAGGCACAATTTATAATTAATATGACATTTGATGTATACGTACGTATGTAAAATCAAATTACCTGAAATGTTATAAATTCTGGAAACATGTACAATATCTTTATATATGGCTCTTATTTCTGTAAACAATTCCCCTTTCGTGATAATAACATCCGGTTTCTCAGAAAAATCCTACAAAACGTAATGTATTCGAATCAGTTACAAGTATATATACAAAATTATCACAATTTTTTACCTAATTTAGTTTAATGATCAGTACAAAGGAAGCATTTCACCCGAGCGCTATTAGACTATTTCGTAATGTTTCTACTTTTTTCATTATCAATAACACTTAGGGGTATTACTGATGAACTTCTAATACTGTTTCTATTTATATGTAGATTTTAGGATGTTTTAAAGCGAATTGGTCCACGATGGAAGGTCTGTAATGTTGATAGTATTAAGAACCATGCGTGATAACAACCATGAAAGGATTATTTAAGGATATTGTTCGTCTGTCTGATATGTATGATGTGATTCGGTATGGTTTTATATAGCAGAAAATAAATCATGAAATAAATAAATTATAATTTCTCATACAACTATCCATACTAAATCACAAAGAACAGTGTCAAACTTTCTTTTTTTCTATAAGAATATCCAAATGATATTGTTTTTATCAATATTTGGAATACTTTTGAAAAATGTGTCTATTATACATAGACCAATTTACTTTAATTATAAACTGTTTTATAAATTGATGCATAATCGAATAATACATTTAAAATGAATGTAAAAAAAGAAATTTAAATAAAGTATAGGAATACTTTTGCAACTCCGTCTGGTATAAAGGTATAAGCTCCACTTTTATCACGGAAAGGTTGCATATGTCTACCGGTGGTGTATGTAACAAAATGAGTGTCTGCCTTGTAAGTCTCCCCGTGATCTTTATACATTACAGACTGAAAAATAAATGCGATCTTTCCAGTAAAATAGGTGTAAAGAATAGATGTATGCCATCAGAAATCATTCATGCCATCCAGGCTATTTAAATACCATTTGTTTTTAAACGTTTAGGTGTTTTATTTAGCAACACAATATTACAGAAAAGATCTTATCCATTTTAACCTTACATTTCATGAAACAAGTTACATATTCATGCAATATAATATAACCTTCAATGACATATGGTATACATACATATAACATTCCATCACATGTCTTGAATAAGGCAGTCAGGTACGAGTTAGACACGGTAATAGACGAGGAAGGTAATTGGTTCATGCGGAAATGGCCAATATCAAGAGGTAGACTGGAAACAAAAACAAAATGAGTTATTGACTTGTTACACCATAATCCATATAAATCAACAAAGTCACATTGAGCAACAGCCAGTATACATAACACTTTAAATTGATTTTCTGACTTTACTGTAATTTTAAATACAATGTACACATTTCGAACGCATGTTTGTTCGTCATATGAAACCAGACAAATCAGTTTTGATTGAATTAAGAATTCTGATGATAAAAAGTATTTTATCCAACATGCAAGTGGAAAATTCAGTTTCACATGGTCCCACATTTACAAGGATAGGTTTTGTGGTGAGTCGACTCAAAAGTGGCCAATACAGTCCAAGATGTGATTTTTCCATCCCTGCAAATATATTCACAACAAGTGGCTAATATAAGGACTTTGCCGATTCGCAATATTAACGTTTACCATCGGATAATTTCAGTGATGTCTTTGCAAATGGAAAAATATATTTTACCAATGATTTTAATTGTGCACGTTAAACATTTATAAAATAAAGTCTCTACTGTTGAAGATATTGGAGACCAAATCAAGAAATTATAAGAAATCTATACTTTTTTATGATGATTATAAATCTAACGAGAAAAAATGCGATTGCCATTCACTATACCTTTTATCTTTGCTGTTTATGACATTAAACAAGGCCGCAAACTTAACATTAGAACCGGATGTACCAACAGATGTTTCTGCACACACTGTAAAAGTAGACAGGGAAAAAGCTCCAACGTCCACTTCTATTGATAACTGAAATTAGAAAAAAATACAAGCGGTTCAAACTTTGATATAAATTTGAAAACAGAAATGCATTTTATATGTCAAATTGAACTATATATATTCAAAGAAATCTTACTTACCAAATAGTTTTTAGTTTCAACAGATCTCTGACTGGTATCCCAGACTGGACTGATCTGGTATTTGATTGGTTGTTTTAACCGGTCTGTGACCTTGACATAGGGCGTATCCACAACAATGTGTATTAAATCATGCCTTGGTTGTCCCACATCATTCCAAACTACTAGATTACTACAAATAAGAAAAATCTCATAAAATGTCTTGACCAGAAATATTTGCTTGCTTTTACCATTATATAAGGAAACCTAAAAGAAAGTTCAAAACAGTAAAATAAAAAATACTGCAAACTCGGTTTGATTCAGCCTGTTCAGGGACAGGAGAGGTAAATACACACTTCCGTCAATGCCCACTAGCACCGGCTTAAGCAGAATTCAAAATTCAGACATGAAAATTTACAAGTAAATTTACACTATTACATGTCGCTAACTATTTCTAGTAATAGACTGAAATTTGCTTCAAATCAATTCAATAATCATACGCATGTGAGTAAGTTAGTTGATATTTTAACACGTTTTAAAATACATTATATGCTGGGACTTTGCTGGTGAAAAGCACAAAAGATGTGCGAGTATTATTAGTTTTTATGCGACCACTTGGATTGTTGGCTTCGGTGCTCCAGAAATACTGTTAGGTTGGAAACAATGAATTTTAATTTAATACAACAGTGTATTTATCTGCATCCATGAATCATGGGATAATGTGTTTTTCCGCAAGTTATTCTCATCAAACAAAATCAAACGTATGACTTACATCGGTGTGTTTAAACTGCATACAAGTTTTGAAGGAAAATAACCATCTTTCGGGTAGTCTTCTGTCTAAAATAAACACAGTGGTTATATGATTACTGGTAAAATATGTGTTACAAATCACAAAGTTATTAACAACAATATGAAAAATAAGACTGCAATTTCAGCCTAAGCCAAATTGTGTCTGCCGCATTATTTAAACAAATATAATAAAATTCATCAATTTATTGATCTAGTTTTGTTTCAATAGGCCAATCTATTTTATTTTTTTTTAAACATTTTTTTTAAATATCTTCTACTACTCATATAATGTACTTGTTCTATTAAAACAGAATTTATTACTTTTTTGGACAAAATAACAACAACTAAAAATAATAAAAAAAAACTTACAAGTTGTACAACTATGTTGTTTTGACTTTTATCTCCCAAGATGTTTGTGATCGACTGTTTGTTGACTTGAAAGATATCTCGAAGAGCTGATCTCACTCTATTTCATCGAAAAATAACAAACAAAAACAACACAGTCAGTTATTGGTAGGTAACTTTAGTTTACAATGAGGTAACTTTAGTTTACAATGTTAATGCTGTTTGATAACGATGACTATGCAAGTTTTATTGTACGTATTACCTAATTTTTATCATTTCTGTTGTTGTTGTTGTTATTTTGTTGTTATCATTATTATTATTTCTGTTGTTGTTGTTTTGTTTTTTTTTTGTTATTATTATTATTATCATCATCATCATCATCATTATTATTATCCTGCCATTTGATGGTCGAGGGCATCCCACTCAGCACCGTACAATGTCATTTCCTTCATGACTGTATACAATAACAAGTAATGACACGAAACATATTATCAGATTTGAGAATGGAATCTAGTCAAACATATTTATCTCAAAATCTAATGAGGTGTTTCTCTTAAAAACAAACTTTTTATTCAAATTGTAATGAAGTGGGCATAACCAAAAAGATGTTCAATGCTTTTATTTTTACATGGTTATTTCTTCTCCGTGTTCTCCTTTTATCACTTTGAAAAAATCTCTAAAACGATCTATTTAAAGCAGATGTTTCAGCCTTGTATCTTTTGTAAGTTTTTCCTAGCTTTTTAATCATTTTTCTTTAATAATTATAATACTTAATTTCTGGATTTATAACTGGATTCGAGAGTGTTTGAATAAGTATAGCTTCCAACTCAATCGGACTAAAATTAAATTAGTTCAAACTAAATTGATACTGGACAGTTGGAAAGTCAAATTAAGATATATAAAACATGTTCCTAGGGTTACTACTAGTAGATATATTTAATGGATTACCTATCACTATAATCATTCATAACATGACGTTTACTTGTACCAGTGATGGCATCATGGTGTTGTGACAGAGCTAGTGTTCGTCTGACCGTCTCCAGTTTACTGTACAGATCCCACATGTTCGTGTTCACGTTTAGGTATGACATACAAAACGTGAACAGAATTTCAGCAGATCTAATATTAGAAAGTAAAAATGAGGTCTATTTTTTACAATATTTAAAAGAATAGTGTCTTTTCGTATTCGTTTAAAATAATGAGTTTACGTTGATTATCTGAAATTATAAAACAAATAAAAACAATGATTTTACGAAAAGTTTATTTTTAACTTATTAAACTTTTTCTTTTAACTTTTCAAAAAATAGTTGAGATACAAGTACATGTTTATTTTATTTTTATCAAAGGAAAGTCGGTCGATAGACAAATACCTTAAGAATTGCTGAAGTTGCCTGACCATAAACTTGAAGTGGGGTCTAGTCGAGTAGAAACCACTCCAGTACTGGTCACTTCTGTCAGTGTACGGAAAGAAATCCCCACTCAGTACCGGATAGTCATCAGCTTTATGTCTACCCGAACTTTTGTGTAAATGTTTAAAATAATCTTTCAAAGTTCCAAACTCGATCTGAAAAATAACTCATGAAACTGATCGAATGGAATAAATAGAAACTTTAATTTATATGTAAAGGTAAAACTTTTCCATTTAATCGGACATACGTATTTTATACAATCGTCTAATATAAAGACAGTTTTTCAGATCTATTTGGTAACTAAAGATATCGAAAGCAGTTTCCACTTAAATATCTGTCTATGGAAAATACTGCTTACAAATGGCAAAAATGGCAAAGGATAAAGTTGCCTTCTGAGCGCCCAAATGTAATTTAAAGCTGAAACAGTTTGTAATGTTATTATTCATACTTAATCCAGTCAATCATCTTCACCATTATAATCATTTAGTTTAGAAGCTATAATTAAAAATATCCTCAAAAAAACTCTTTACAATATGACAGTTTTCTTTCAATTACTTTCATCTGCATTTCAGGTTTGTCATTGATGTAATTAAAGATTGTCTGTAAATTTTCAAACTGTTCGTCCCATTCTTCTGTGGTTTTATACCGGAAATCGTCGCCATGCGGCAACAAAAGAACATTACTCCGGAACAATTCGGACTTCATCTGTAACTGCTCCCACAATTCATTTGCTCTGAAATTTCAAAGTGGGTGATTTCTTCGTTTTTCGTGAGTGGAAACATCGGTAACCAAATCAATAAGAACAAGCTTACCGCTATACGTTTGGCGGGAAAAGAACGCCATATTTAAACGTTCATGAAATTGTCACGTGGTTACGTTTTCCTGAAATACACAACTTAACGATTCTTCATGTCTGGAAATTGATTAATGTATGCATGCTAATGTTGAGGAAAGTGACAAAGTAAGGTGTATAATTATAAAACTTATAAAATTGTTAATATTCAGAACAAAAACAAAACATTTACTTACAATTCAGCGACATTATCATTCGTAACATGCAGCACGTCAGTATGTTTTTTCCCATGGAAACATTGTTTCTGATGAAAGTCAAACTTGCAGCAGACGTGACGATTTGGTCCACATGAATAAGGTATGCCATACAACATGAACGGCATCATGTGACAAAATATATCCGTTGTACCTGTGTCGTCTGCAAATAACAAGTTTTTGGTAATGATAGGCTTATTTTGAAGATATGCATAAAAAAGTACTACATAATGATTATCATTATCTTTATTAAAGTCCCATCCATACATAACAACATATAGAATAGTTCAATTATTTAATTTACAAGCAAGAAACAAGCAAAAATTTGGATATTTGACTTTGAAGGTCAAGGTTTTTTTATGAGTGAAGGTCGAGGCCTGTCTGGTCAACTTGAAGGGCCATCCTAAAAGATTATTTTGTTCAAGTTTGAACACAATCCATTCACAAATAAAAAAAGTTATAGCCACTAATAGCAAAAATCAGCGAAAAACAAGCAAAATTTAGACATTTAACCTTGAAGGTAAAGGTCATTTATGGATGAAAGTCAAAGTTAGTCTGCTGTACTAAAAAGTATTGTCCCAAGGGTTGTTAAACTTAAAAAAATTATGATCAATATACAAGTTTGCGGACGGCAACGGCAACGCCGACATAACTGTACAAATACCTCTACTTTTTTCTTCTTTTTTTTAAAGTCCAGTTAAAAATCATTGAACCGAAAAAGGCCGTCGATATGCACAACGAAACTTAGTACTGATTATTCCTGTAAAGTTTGGATGAAATTGCACCCGTAGTTTTATAGGAGTAAGTAGTCCGGACAAGTTTTGTAACGGACGGACAGACAGATGACTGACTACCGATCAATACTGTAAAGTTCCATTGAAATTGTAATAGTGGTATAAGAGGAGTAGTCCTGGCAAACTTTATGAACAGCTTTTTTTATTGAAGAGCCATAACTCAGCCAAGTCATACAAGCGAAAAGCCTTTGTAATATGCGCAAATACTAGAGCTACAAACCAAGCAGCGTGCTTAGCTCAATCGGTAATATTAGCGCGAGACTTTTAATCTCGACATTGTGGGTTCGATTCCCGGGCTGGCCAACTAACACTACTAATCAGTCTTTCCGATGAGACTTTAAAATCGAGGTCCCGTGTTTGAGTGCTTAAACACTTGGCACGCTAGAGAACCAGGAGAAGCTTTTGGAATTTGGGCATCTTTCTGTATCGGTATCTTCCAAAATCTAAAATGACTAAAACTCTTCTGGAGGACTCGCCCATATGGGCAACTGGTGGCGATTACAAATGAACTCAAATACACACAGTACAAATCAATTGCATTGAAATTGCACTAGTGGTATGAGAGTAGTCCGGATAAAACTTTAAAAATAATTTTAAAAAAAAAACACATTAAAGGCGGCACAAAATATATGCAAAAAAGAAACTGCTACATATTATTTTTAAAAGCTTCATATGGTAAATTATAAAAACCACAGGCTTTACAGAAGTAAGCTTTATCTATGACTTTTTTGTCTTTATTTACTGTTATATTATTGTCTAGCTATGTAATAAAACTGTAATGGTCTATCTGTGCATCTTTTTGACCAATTACCAGAGAAACCATTCAAAAGATCTTTAAAACTATCTTTCCAATAATCTCAATCTTTGTCTTCGTCTGTAACTAATACTCCTTTATCATCAACAAACTCAAATGATATTTTATGGTTGTTTGTTTTAAAAAGATATACCAACTTTACCAATCTTAAAAGGAGCTTCAAAATTACAATATAATTTAAAATAATATACTCAGTCATTGGTGTGATCTCAAAATAAATCATGAGGTTTTTTTAAAGTCAATCGATAAAAAATGTGTACATTTTGTCTTGCGTTTGAACGTACTTTAAACTTACTTTAGCGTCAATTATGACAATAATGATACTAAATTAACACTTTGTTCCGAGTTACTCAGAGAAACAAATGTAATTTTATCTTTATTAAAACAACAAACCCCAATTCTGTCGCCAGATGAATTCAAAATCCTTCTGTTGAGCAAAATGTCGTTTTACTGCATAATGCACCCGTTGTATTACCATGTTTTGAATCCCTGACTGACCCAGTAAATAAGGCATGGTAGATGAATGACCAAATGGATCAATAGCCCAGCTGTTTTCTACCGTTACATCTTGAAATAAACAGATATTGAGATATAACAATGTTTATAAACACATATGAAAACATGTATGTGTATTACAAACTAAATAATATTTAAGTCGAAACGCATTTACTTGCGAAACACGTTCAAACGTTTCATAATTATTTAATACTTTATAACTTTGATGGCATGTATACTGGTAAGTAAAATAATATTTTGAAATGAAAAAGTGCCAACTGCCGTTTAAACACACAAATTACTTCAGTTATTTTGGAACTTCCCACAACAATTATGTAGCAAAGACATTGGGTGTAGAATATGCCCCTAATCATTTGACGAATCACAAAACAAAAAGCTGGTTAATACATACTCAGGTTGTCTTTTAGCCACAGTTGTCCCTCTGTAAGCTGGTCAAGCATGGCACCATAGTGAGCCACAGACTCATCTGTCATAATCCATGACCCATATACAAGCTCTAGCTGACCTCTCTGCACTAAACTAAGTAAATATCACTTGGAATTTCATATTTATTTCAAGCGACTTATTTTCATTCATTGAATCCTGGTCCAGTGACATTTTTATCCGGATTCCCTTTACTAACAAAGGATAAAGAAATCAAACCAATTCACATACTAATATATTACAGTATTGTGTTTCATACTGCTAGAACCTAGGATAATAAATAAATATATTATTGTAGGTAATAAAGTTCGTTATAACAAATTATTAAAGCATTAAGTATTATTACTTATACATGTATATGTTCAAGCTCTCTGTTTAAATTTCAAGGTCGGTTTTCATATGTATAGCACGAATACCTTTCACTTATAGTTCAAAGACTGATTAAATGCTGGCATTTTTGTTATGTTTATATCATATACATTGAAAGAATTACCTTTTAAACAATGATTTTTGTTTATTGGTTGCCTTTATCCACCACATTTGTAATAGGCCGACCTCTGTCCATATAAACGACCAAGTTGGGTTTGCTGTCAGTTTCTCTATCATGAGATCAAGTGTTGGTTGTGTAGACATAGAGAAATACGAATCTAATGTTTCCAGCCAGCCTGGTTTATATAAAACTAACACTCAGAACCCGTTCATTACACTGTATTATTTAAGACCCTACTCTTTTAAGAACCTGATCAAAATCTTACAAAATTTTACTTTCTTGAAAAGACTTTCTCGATTTTAGTCGTCTTCGTTAACTTTGTATACCTTTCTGGTACCGTGGTCACGGCACTGAGAATGACTTCTCAATATGACGAGATCGCCCTCTGAGTAATTTCCATCAGCCAAAACTGATTTTTTCTTAACAAAAACCTGCCACGGTAGCATCAAGTGCGAAAAATTAAATGATCATCCCCTATATTAGCGCTTATAGCCAAGTAAATGGAGGGAGACTTTAAAATCTACTTAATCCACCTTGGCCCTTAACTTAAGACCGCATCATTAAAATCAACTGGCGGTGGCCCGGTAATCCCTTATCACCACGAGCACGGGGCCAAAGTCTCACGGGATCCCCGACGAATGCATTTTTGGATAAATTTTATTTCTACGCGTGTATATCTATCGATTAAATACTTAATCTTGAGTTTCTCAATAGGTCCACTTATAAATTATCAGTAAGATATAAATATTTTGAGAGATTTCAAGCCTACTTTTCAATGAAATGTGATTAAATAAATGTTTATATTAGATAGTGTTTATCTATTTAAACCTTTATTATTGTGCGGCTAACTTACATTATTTAAAACGTCATGCCAAATAAATGCTCAATATAAATAAACCCCCGACATGTATCTTTTATCAAACAGGTCATTGCCAATCTATTGTCAGTGTAATCCCAGATCAAACCAAATGTACATGATGTATTGGTGATATTTAAGTTTGAACTACAAATATATTGAACCACTGACATTGTGTAAACTATTTAATTTGATCAATTGTCTTGCAGCAAACAATTAGATCGCCAAATTTTATTTACGTTTGACAGACGGCATTTAGCACCGAGGTTCAACAAATTTTACTTACTGGCAAGATGACAGGTTGTTTATTATTTCTCTATGGAAGTGCTATAAATTTCCTATAAATTTCCTTAAATATGTTATTATTTGTACACTGGTAACATTTCATTGATATCAATAACAAATATGTGTACATTCGAAAATTCTTATTTTCTGTTGTTATTTATAACTTCAAAGTGATGTCTACCTGTTGCCAGTTTGTAAATGGTAGGAGTCAAGACAGATTACATTCAGTATGAACTTTTCACAGCGTGATGGTTAATGGGATATTAAAAAATACTAACTCATGGTCTGCACAGACATTATTATAAAATCTATTTTTGTCACATCATCTCACATGTCAACTTTGCTATAAAGTATTACCTGGGTCTTGATGTGAATGGGGCATAACTATAACATGAAGCGGTTTGGCGGTCCATGACTTCACCTGAATTGTGTCCAACCAACCTGTAACCGTTACAACAAAGTCTGGGTAACCTAGATTTATTCTATCCCAAATATCTTCCATCTGAAAATTGAATTATATTCATTAGTAAACACGTGTTATTTACACCTATTCCAACTAGCTTACGGAACGTCGGTGGTTCTACTCAGGTGCCCGTTCGTGCCTCGCCATATGACCTATACTGTAAAACCCAATCAATTCCAATAAAACCAAAAACTTACATAATTACATAATATACATAAAAAAGTACTTTTGGGATATTCAGTTTTGATATCTCTAACTATAGTCATGTATAAGTATGATTATTTGAAAACGAGACATGATAATGCTTATTGGATATGACAACATATTTTAATAAATCATTTAAACTAGCCATAACGGACTGTAAAGTATATGACAGATGAACAGTACCTGTATATCAGCATGGTTGTAACCACCAATGAAACATTGACTATTCCCCTCATAGTCAGTTCTTGAAACTTGTGTGGCCTTGTTATTTGAAGTCGCTTCATGTTTTAAATATTGTTGTAGGGTACAAGTTCGCTTGTGTCGACTACCAAATGGATCATTTACCTAAAATTATGATAAAGATACGAGTAACATAAACAGTTGTAAATAACGATATACGATCATACAAGGACAAATAAATGCTGTCCTAAATTCCCAAATATTAAATAAATATAAGATAACGCATAAATGAACGGGTGAATTTTGAAGTTCAACATTCTCCTATTCAAAATATTCGGTATCGCTTTATAAAAGGGTTTGTTAATGTCTGACAAGTTAATTAAATTTCTTCTATATTAGCTACATGTTGCTCTATAGTATTGTATCTAAAGACGGCAATCGATTCCTCTATAATCCGTTGTTAAAATGTTCTAAAAATTTTGACACAAAGGGGACTTTTGATAAATAGCCGACTCCATTATGAAAAATAAAATCAATACATCATATCCAGTAACATGGTCACTAAATTAAACATTCTTTCGGGGCAAATAATTTGTAAGTTCCAATATTAGAAATAATACACGAGGAAATAAGTATTTCAATATTTTCGATTTTAGAATACGAAAAATTTTATCATGTAAACTTCTTCAATATAAACAAAGGAAACACGAATCACATAAAAACAATTTTAACATTAAAATAAATGATTTAAAACATTCACAACTGATGAAAATATGAAATGTTTATATCAAAATAAAGTAATACAAGAACACATGCAGCTTACCTTTACAAGAAATTGTCTTGTATTTAATTGTTTCTCTTGTATTCCAGTATAAAGTGATAAAATAAAGGCAGCTAGCGATGCTACAACACACACTGTAATCACACGACGACATTTGCGAGGTAAATACCTCGCTATAATTCTCATTCCTCCGTTCTATCACATGACATCATGGCACAGTTTCTGTATGTAAAAAATCAATGTATATGTAGATAATAATCAATCAAGTTCAAAGGGAGGCAAATCGTTTTCAAAAAAAATCTTAAAGATCCATCAAGTCCTTTTTCTATTTCTAAAACTTGCTGTTACAGTTTCTAAAATGCTACCCATTGGTCATATAGCTGTAACATAATAGTTTACTTCTTTTGCTTTTTGACTATATAATTAATGTCATAGTAGTTTAGTATTTTGTATGTAATTCAAAATACCACTTCGTTTACATTTTGTCAGTGTTATGACAATAACTACACCTTTAACGGTTCTTCCTGCACGTGGTAAGTATCTTACATGCTCCAAATCCACTATAAAATATAACAAAACACATGCTTACCCTTTTAAAGTAAACATATAAGACATTTCTGCGGATCAATAGGCCTTTAAAGACTAACGTTTTCTGTTATATATGTATCATGAAACACACAGAAAAGATGAAGATGGCGACTATTTGATAATTTCTATTTCATCACTCATCTCAGCCTGAGAATTATAACATTCTATGTACTCCATTGAACGAATAAACACGCTACGAAGTTCCTTTGGTCAGGTACGTATATTAATTTACGTACCTGCTTTGGCCTTAAATAATTTTGTAACACATAGTTTAGATAAATCCGTTATTTTACATTCAGAAATTCCACTGCTCATAGCTTAATGTATCACATATTCCGTCTAGAACGTATCGGTTTTTGAATCATTATATTGCATGCAGAATAATGTATGTTTCTGTTTTTCCGCTATTAAAGGGAGTCGCATGGACTTCCTCCTACTGTCACACTACTTGAAACGCATCTAAACGGTGGCACACAGACACACGTGACATGTGTGTGTGTGTGTGCGTGCGTGCGTGTGTTTTATTTATCTTGTGCGCACGAGACACTATGTGATGTGCACGAGTTACTATGTCGTAATTATCTCGTGGGCACGAGTTATTAAAGTGCGCACGACTTTGTATCTCTAGCGCATGAAATAAATGAAAACACGTCACCGCTGTGCCACCGTACATCTAACCCTATTAGAAAGAAAACTAACTTAATGATTTACAAAAGCCGTCTTATATTTTAATCTCTCATAAATTCGGATTACAATACATTTTTTGTACTTAACTGGTCAGGGGAAGTAACCACTGGAGGAGCAACGGTTGTTTCCCGTGATTAGTACTGAGAGACGTAAAATATTTACTGATGTTAGATAATAAAACTGTTGATTTTTTATATGTATTTAGAGTTAAATAGAAATGCGGAGTAGCATTAAAAATTAAAGTGCTCAACATTTATTACCTAAAGCATACCCTGGGTCTGTAGTCTATACTGAAGCAATCGGTTTTAAAACGCGGGAAGATAGGTATAGATGATTTATTCAAACATACCATATGGAGCATATACTCACCTCTATGTTGACGTTTTGACTAATTAATGGAGCATATAGTCTTTTGTCGTTTTAGAGAAATAGAAAGTCTAATGAATTTCAACAGTTGATTATATTAGTTCGTAACATAACCGTTTTCGATCATAAGACAAAAAAAATATTTAGTTCCTCTGGGCATGTCGGACTACACAGAGCTAGCCATCTGATGGAAATCATTGTCTTAAACTTTAAACATACAGATTATCTTGCCTTTCTCGCCAAAACAATTCGCATGGTCCCAGGCTTGGCGAAATCATTTTTATGACGCCTGTGAGAGACAATGTTTCTTCTAAGCGTTTCTATACTACAAAAAGGCGTTTACAGTTAAAATGACCCTCACTTGATGAAAATTTAACGATTGATCATTTCTCAACGTTCCACTTTTTAATCAAAATTTAATGTTGAATTGTTGGCAGGGTCAATAACCAACGTTAGGTTCAGTACTCAACCAAAGTGGGGTCATGCAACATTTAATATTACACCAGAGGAAAAAATGGTACACAGCCTGATGCTGCCTCCAAAACTTTTAGCAAGCCGATTGCAAATAAACTTAAATTAAGAAAAATACCTGCAAGTAACCTGTTACTGTAAATCTCATATGTTAACAATCTAGCAATATAAACCCAGAAATAGTCAAAAAATTATTTTATATCTCTGTGTCGTTTTAGTTTAGTAATTGGCACTTGTATACGCAGTCGACATTATTGAACTTTAGTTAAAACATAACATTTGTTAAAATTTATTATTCATGAACAATATATGTTGCAATAAAATACATACCAATAGATTTATATGATAGTGTGTTGATATTACTGTTGAGTTATTCAGATCAGGTGAGTTACAACACAAATGTAGAAAATTTCATGTCGTTCTGCTTCAGATCTCACAATATTTAATGTTGTAGTTGTTGTTGCATGTGCAACTATATGTGTTAGTGCTACGCGTGTTTACTTTTCCAATACACAAACTTTTCACACATGAGCAGATCTAACGTCACTGAAGCTGGTATGCATGCATATAATTATATATATACATGTAACGTTTCGTGTACATACATGTATAACATGGCTATTAGATTCTATTAATAAAAATTTGCCGCAAAACAAACATATAAAATTTAATGAAAACTGTATTTACCTTAATACTCTGTAAATGCTGTACGGCGAAAGAGCACGGCAAAATACCAGTAAGCCGGATTAGTCTCCATATACGGCGCACCGTATGTGTCAAAACTTTTTGTGGTTCACTGACAGTCGCTGATCAGAGGGTGGTCGCAAAATTCAGTTATGCGCATATTCAAGAATGTATTTTGGCAATTTTCTGAATTTCAAGAGGGGTCGGGAGTCTTTTTTGCATGATCTCACTTATATAAATTGCGTTAATTCAATAACCGTAAGTTGATATCGAATATTCACAGGGCTTTATAGACATACTAGCATATATACTGTGCTCCTCTTAGTTCAAGGTACTACACGCTTTGAACCCAGAAAGAAAACAACAAATGAAACTAATGGTACAAAAATTGTCATAAACTATAACATATCTATAGGTATTTTCTGCTGTATGGCACAAGAAAACAACAATATATTCAGTCAAAGTCAATTTTAATGGACCAAACGTAGACCATATGTCGGCCATTTTGAAAACAGTATGTCATCATTTAAATCGCGATAATGGTGTTACATTTAAGTTTTTTCATGTTTCAGTTAAAATTTCTACATGTTATTTTGCTTATTTTAAATATTAAAACTATCCTTACTTTGTAACTCAAAATTTATTTTTTCAACAAACAAAAACATGATGATTGTTTCAGGCATACGCACAAATTCAATGGACAATTGTTGCTTTTTGCATAAATTTGTAAAATGTTGTTTTGTTTTACGTAAAAATCTAGAGATTTAAAATATTTTGCACAAAAACCATGTTTTTTAGGTGTATGAATAAAATATGTCAATTCTGACCAATTTTGACACTGGTCTCATGAAAATATGCCATTACCGTGAAATAAGTGATGACGCGGACTTAGTGATGTTGAGTATACTAGTTGAAAATGACCCTATAACCCCACCCTCTACAGCCGCACATATCTCTAAAAAAATATATTGTAAATTGTCGGGACAAATACCAGAATGGGATCAGGGTGTAACTTTAGGTGGCACCTTTTGGCTTTCGTAAATCACTCAATAAAAAAATCGTGTTTACGTATACATGTATGATTGAAAGTGTGTGTCACATGGTTCTGACCAGGTGCGTGTCATTTGACTTGCCAAAAAGTGTTCTTTTTTGTTGTTGTTTATTTGTTGTTGGACGTTGTTTTTTTGTTGTTTGTTTTGTTTTTGTTTTGTTTGTTTTTTGTTGTTTTTTTTTTGTTGTTGTATTTTTTTTTTTTTTTTTTTTGGGGGGGGTATTTTTGTGTTATGAACGTTATATCATGTTGATCAAATTATTTATTTTATGAGCATTCCTTATATGATCAACAATTAACTCACAAGGATCGAGGCATTGAGTGAATATTAAGCGTCAGTCAGGAATTGTAATACAAGAGATGCAATCAGGGCTGTAAAAAGAACACCGGAAAGAACCTATACGGAAAATACTTTTACAAAATGATAATACTATGATATAACAATTCGTAAAAATGGCATACTTAATTTTTTTCATAAATTTGATATTTACTCAAAGACGAGCATAGTATATCTTTAAGGTCAAGGTCATTAAAGAGCAAAGATAAAGTCCCAGGTAAAAATGAAGCCGTGTGTCAGACACACAAGCATTAAAAAATAAATCCTTCATGGACATATTCTATTCTGCATAAAAGTCTTAAATCAACTAAGGAACCTCTTACATCACACATGGATAAAGTTAATAAACAATGACTGCAATTCTTACACTTCAACCATTAAAGCTGCATAACTCCAGGTAAGTCAAAATATATCAAGAAAATTAAATTTGAGAAAAATGAATTAAAATTTAAGAAAAAGAGAATTTAGGATTCCAGTAATAATTTAAATAGTATGTGCTATTAGCGACTGTTTTTGCAGCATTCATCACCATATTTCTACTTTATTTTTGCTATTTTGTCCTCTTTGTTTTTTTAGTACATGTAATTGCAAGTGCTGTTTGCAATGTGTAAAATAATTCTTTGTTCACTTTACAAAAATACTTTCATATTCCTTTTTTTTTTAAATTTTCATGAAAATTAGCATGAAATCTGGGCAATCCTTTAGCCACACGGGACAAATTTCAATCATATATCTGGTAAGATTCCAAATACATGTAACAGCCTTTTAGCAAAAATTACTATTGCTAAAGCTTTTGTCACCAAAAAAAGCTAGACCTATCACTGAAGGTGATTAATACCCCAACCAGCAACTTTGACCTTTTGAAAAATATGTATCAAGTGTGTACAAAGAAATATTTCAATTTATTGTAGTCCCAACTGTGGTCTCCAAATAAGCTTGCTATACAATATCACATTTCCTAATTTTTCTTTTTTTAGTATTGGTGACTTTGACCCTAGGAGGTCTAAATGCAATACCAACCGGAGTCTTCACATAAGATTGCTATATACCAAGTTTGATTACAATACCCCATTCCAAACTCTATTTATCCTCAGGAAACCATGGTGTGGACTGACCGACAAGCCGACTCCTAAATACCACCCGTTAACTTCGTTTGTGGGCGTATAACTAGATTTTTTGCTAGAAATGAAACCAAAGACTTAAGCTCATTCCAACATGGGCAAGTTTTGTTTCATTGTACGCCTTTTTCCAACAGTATTTCAGTCATATATAGGCGGGTAGTTTCCTAACCATGGTTCCTGGAGAGTTACACCAGTACTAGGCTACCTTCCTCAGCGCTAAACTACCAAAGCATCTCCAGGGAATCGAACCCACGCCAGATAGGTAACTGGATTAGAAGTCATCGACTCTAAACCCCTCAACCATGCAGGCGGTACATGGGCAAGTAGTTGAAGAATGATTAAACACCATTTTTAACCTAAAGAAGTAAATGATCCAGCACAGACACTGCTCTTGTTTCACATTTATTTTATTTAATGTTATGTACAAGTTTGTAATTTATGAGTTAGCATTAGGTCCCTTCCTTCTGCCAAAGCCTTGTACTACATTGACATAACGTCTGTTGTACTGCATACGTCTCTTAGCTCGCCCAGTCTTCTTTTTCTTCTTCTCTTGCTTATCAACCTGAAAAAACAATGGACAACAATGTTAATATATTTTAACATGTAACAACAATTTTATTGTTTCTTCATTCTATGAGACAAATAAACACCAGCCTTTGTGTTCAATCAAGTTAAATATTCTAATATCATCAAGGGTTTTGTTTGTTTCATTGGGTTTTACGTCAAACCGACACAGTATAGGTCATATATTGACGTGAGACATTTTCTTGCATCAAGAATGAAAAGGTTTCTACAAATAGAAATTATTACCTTTGGTGTCTGTCCCTTTACTTTACCAGCACGAGCCAGGGATCCGTGCACCTTACCTAGAAACAAAATACAAGTAATCAAAATAATTTCTCATACAATATTTAATTACCTTTAAAGCACTGCACTCCTTAAATACCTAACAGCTTACTATACTTACATAACTGATGACCTTTACAGACAAAATTCTTAAAATATAAGACAATAAGTACATTATATGAATTTGCCACAGGACAAACACTTTATATTTAATGTTCAAGCAAATTCTTCTACACAAAATTTAACAGTAACAAAGTACATGTACTAAAGAATATTTGCACAATAACCAGATGTTTCTAATTCCATACAAATGAAAAAACATATCAGTAATAATGGGATTTTCTTGATGGTCTCAAGCTTTACATCATAGATCACCTATTGTATACAAGCCTTTTTAAATTTGATTAAAAATCAAATTATGACACATACTTAAAGGATCTCCATTGAGGTACATAAGATTTGATTGTCTTACAAAGTTTAGATAGGTCACTTAGAAACAGAATGATATAAAACAGGTAATTAAGATATGTACTAAATTAAAAACCTTATTTTTGTGCTATACTTCGCTCGATTTAAGTTCAGTTTTGAGTAATTTTTCACAATTGAAATAATTATTTTGGAAAAATGTAGCGAGCGATTTATTTGAAACTTTGCAAACAAGTTACTGGTCTAGACCTACATCAAATGGAACAAACATTAACCTTTAAAATTATTTCCACCACCATCATGTCAAAATAACCTCAAAGAAGTCCCTTTAACTGTAGGAAAACTGAGTAATCAGCTCTTTTAATTTCCCAATAGAAAATTTATTAAATATATGCAACTAATATGAAACATTTCATGAACCACCATTCATATATTTCACAATCACATTAATTTGAACGAACACAAATGAAGAATTAAACTGCAAAATTACTTTAAACAGCCATTATTCACAACGTTAATCCCGTTTTCATTAAGATTTTTGGACAATTATAGTGAATTTTACTTTCCGACTTTCTCCTATGACGAGACCTTTACCAGGAGTTAGAAAATCCAAAGCCCAACCTTAACCATTCTCCTAGTTTGCCTTAGTTACATTTGACTGGTGCATTACTGAACATTAAACTATAAAATTAATGGAGAAGAAATCTTAAAATTGAATAAAATCAGGGCCAAACACCATTTTTTGGGAAGGGGCCTCAGCCTTTTTCTTGGGGAAAATATGCATCATTTTTGCAAACTTTGGGAAAGGGTTCTCAAATTTAACACAAACTTTTAACTTCTTCAAAAGCACTGGGAAATACTAATTAGACAGTAAAAGACCTTAATTCAACATCATTTAATTTTGTTCTAAATTCTATGGGAAATTTTAAAAGAATTTTGAGGACCAAATTGGGGGAAAAAGAGGCTAGTTTGGATGGGGAAGCAGCCTATATTTGGCC